TTTCTAAACCACTTAACCGACAACCACAAGTGTACATGTTTGAATTTAATCAAACCACTGTCCAGTGCTTCCTGATTTTTGATGGATGTCTAACTTAGATCACTTCACAATATGAATAATCGTCATGAACCCTTTGTATCAAAGTATTATATATTTAAAAACTGTAATTGATATTTAGTTAAAATGTTATCATTTCATTGATATACACGTATTTCTATTCAATAATGAATTTATATGCAAATAAAATTTGCATTCAATTAATGAATTATTTTATTACATTCTCTATAATTTACAATAATAATTGCATATAATCGTCTATTTATTTTTACATTGAATGCATTTTGTGTAACAGGCGCCAAAATTAGTTTATTTCGTCATGAATACGTCAAGTATCCTATCAATGATTATCGAATAGATTTGAAAACAGTAGCATATTTAAAGGGTAGAACTGATAGAACAAAAACATGTGAATTATTCCCCTTTCATATATGCACGCATACGTAAGTGGATTAATTCTGTTGAAGTAGTTGATTTTGATTATGTGCACATATGAGAATGTGTGAGGAGGTGTGTGCTTGAAATACAAACTTTCAGGCGTATAAATAGAATGATTCAATGTACGGTCACATACAACTTACAGTAAAGTACAATGAAAATCCTCGTTGTATCTGAAACAATGCTGTGTGTAATAATATATGCTCGATCGGCGTTTTTATTTTTTATCGTCTTGGCTGTACTGATTGTAACATTCGAATGTCAGAATTTATGTGTGTCTTATCTTACTGGATTGTGTGATGTGAGGATACCACTTACTGAGAAGTCCTTGTAAGCACGTAGTTTCTAATCAGTTTATTAATTATAATTGTAATGTTACAAAGTTCCCAATGATTTTATTTTCTGTTACAAGTTTTTGATTGAATTTTTTTATCGTCCTACCCTACGTCTATATCCAGTCACTGCTAGGTATACAAGTTAATCAGCTGACCAATCACTTTAACCGTCACTTCAACAAACAACTCCACATACGCGAATGTCCAACGCTTTAACCGGATCCCAAGCCAATGGTGCACATGGGCTCCAGTATCATGAAGGAACAAATGGCGTATGAACCAATCGTTGGTCACCGGCTACCATGGGACTGCATCTCCTAACGTTGCTCCACTGCCTTGTGGATCAGATCTTCAGGTCGAAGGCTCGGGGTGTGGCCCCCTAAGAAAACCACCTGCTTCGGTTTGGACACGTGGGCAGTATCATAGCCTTCAAACAAATCAATTAAGATTTGTGTGACGCATATGTATTTGGTGCCACCTTGTACCAATATCTATGTGTTAAAATAAATAAATAAATAAATAAATAAATAAATAAATAAATAAACTCACTTCGTTAACGCTATCACTCACTCCACAATGCTTACAGACATGAATGCAGCCATATACATACATACTGCCCCAGTCGAACATAAACACAAAACCCAGTATGCATTACTACTTATTCTCGATTAATCAAAATGAAATAATGAGTTTATTCACATATTGCCTTGTCTATCCATTTCTGAGCATTATATTTATACCAATAATAATTAAGAAGTACGGGACCTTAAGGTTCTGATGGTGTGAGTAACACCACATTCTCGTACTGATCTCGACGGGATACAATTCACCATTTTCCGTCCAAATATTCACGTGACCAAGCACTCATAAGCTAATACAACTCCTGTGCCATTGACAATTCTATTATGAAACCTATCGGACGTTATAGATGTTGGTTTAAGGTTTCATTCTTCTTGATCTCTCATCCCTTTTTAACATTAAAATCACATACTTCTGGTATTAACCAAATTTTGTTCTTATTAATTTACTCATTATTTTTCCTGAATTCTTAAGAAAGAAATCATTGTTCGTGTTGGGTTGGATCATGTGATTTATTAGTTGTGTAAGTGGTGAAATATTTGGTATTCGTTGTAGACAGTTAATTGAAAACTCGAAGACAACTGGCAAATTTTAAGTTTAGGGTAGTGGAGATTGTTGAATTTTGTTAAAATCCATAACATCGAACTGAAAATTATCATGTTTTCGCTAGTAATTAGCTTCAAGAGGGGATTCTCGAAGTTCTAGTGAGAAGTCGTGACCAGTAGAGTTAACGATGTCAGGTGTGATATAATTACCCACTGAAGACAATAGAAGATGGTCGTCCAACATCATAGATTGATTGAAGTTAGACATTAACATTGTTGAATACCGGCTCAGTGGTCAAGGGGTTAGGCGTTTTCGCGAGATCGAAGGTCGTGGACTCGAATTGTATATGTGAAGTCGTGAATGAGCACTGCTGAAAAGCCCGGTAATAGGATGGAACGTCCATTAAGTACTTTCAGTCTCTCGATTGTGGTCTAACATTAAGATTTAAGTTCAATTCAATAAAGAATACAACTAATTATTTATGTATAGTATTTTGAATTGTATATACAATATTAGGAATTGATATATTTCTTAGCCATTAGGTCACACATTATAATCCGCCAAAATCTACACTGATATTAGAAGATTATGAATCTAATTACATGTAAGATAATAAGTATTATTTAGGAAGACTTGAACTATGAACAAAACAATAATAAAATACTTTATGGTTTCAGTGGTTTTTCATGTGAAATAGTCTTTTTAAATTGTCTTGTTAAGGAATATTTAAATGATTGAATAATTAAAATTTTCCAATAATTGATAATTATAACATTATGGAATAGTCACTTAATGTATCTAATAGGTTTCATACTCGTTATACATGATAATGGTTATATAGATTCAAGAGCTTAGTAGATAATTAGTTGATGTTTGAAGCGGAAAGCAGTAGATTTGAGTTTCAATCTGAACATCAACATTGGGATATAGGTACGGACATCCAGTTCACTAGTCCGAAATAAAAGGAATCTGATATGATGGGAAGAAAATTTAAAATTAGATTGATTTACTCATTGTTTTTTTGTTCAACATTACTTCCGTTTTACGAAATTTAGCGACACATCCACCATTGTCATCAGTGAGTTACTATCTCACAACAGACTCAGTTGAACTGCAGTGGTCACTGCTTCTCACTAGAACTCCGGGATATACCTCTTGAAGCCAGTCACTAGTGAGCATATGTTGATTAGTAGCAGAAGGGGGCTCAGTGGTCTAGTTAGTTAAGCGCCTGGCCACGAGACTGATAGGTCCTGAGTTCGAATCTCGCGAGGCAGGGCCGTGGATGCGTACTACTATGGAGTCCCTTAATAGGACAAAACGACTGTCCAATGCTTCCTGGTTTTCCATGGTGGTCTAGCTTCAATTGATTCATGATCTCAATTGTTGAAAATACTACAATCTCCACAAAACTCCTTGTTACTTCAGTTTTGTTAATTCATTGTGATAATCACTTAGTATAGCATTCGGTTTTATTTTACAGTGAAATATTTTATTCTGTATAATATACGCTATTCTTGTATTAAGTTAACATGAACTATACTCGGCATATGATTTGTTATAACTGTGAGTGTTTTTCATATATGTGATTTCATCCTAATTATTAATCAAAAATGGTGTATGAATCAATATATAAATGAGTGTATTTTAGACTAGCGTCGTCATCGTCATCATAGTGTTTTGGGGATTAATAAATTTTCACTTATACCAGTTTTTGTGTTCTTTACTTTTGTATCGTGAGAATTACAAAGGTCTCTCCTTTCGATTATAAGTGATAAGCATTTCCGACGCAGTAATCAGCGACGATCAGACATAACAAGTATCATTCAATCTGACAATACATATTAGAATCAATCATGTGAGATTTCATTGAAAATTACTGTTTAACGTTATTATTATATTTATTATAGTTTAATCTTCTTTCAATTAATTCTATCGCTCTTCAATGATATCACCGTCAAGAATAATTCATCATGTTTAATCAATATCTTAATCAATGAAATTTCTTTGTCAAAGTAAAGTAATATGAATTCGAACAAGCAATACCATACCAATAAACCAGAAAACTATAACAATATTCCATACAATTTTGTTTATTTTTATATTCACTGAATTTTAACTGTTACAGGTTTTTTTTTTAAATTTCGTTCAAAAAAGAAACAAAGAAAGAAGAAATTTGATTATTTAGCGGTAGTATTCGTTATTATTATTGTTGTTGTTGTCGATGTCGTCGAGATGTGACACTTTCTTTTTTTACGCGTATATATGTATACTACAATTTTAATGGCTTCAATATTTATAATAATAATAATAATAATAATAATAATAATAATAATAAAGGTAGTTAACAGTAATTAATTAATTAATTAAATGATATAATAAGAACAACGATAAAAACCAATTAATCATAGTAAACGTAAAATTATTAGCTAGTTTATTTGTGTATATGTAAAGAAGAAGAGTAATGATGAATAGTTTTCATTAAAAAATACAATCAGCAGTACAATAAGAAGGAGAGGAAGCAGCAAAATTAACTAGTGCAATGGAATAGTTGGATTTGACATATGTCTCCTTTTTGTTTTAAGTATATATTTATTCATCAAAGTGATATCTGTACGTAGATATCAACTATTGATGTGGGTGTGTCTGTGAAAAAGAGAGAATGAATTAAGTTCGTGTTTGTATATATAAATATATACTTATGAATGTTCGTGAAATTTAATAGATATATAAAATTGGAAGCTCTGGCGGGAGATTTAAAGGGATTGAATGGTATGAGAATTTCGGTTGTTTACTCATCACTGATATATGTACCAACCAATAAAAAAAACGATTGGATGATTACCATATTGACTAACTAGGTGAAGTACCGGATTGTTCTATAGTTAATATATAAATTTGGTAAATTCACGTAGGCATCGAAAAAAAATTAAAAGTGAAGAGTTTTTTTAGAAATAAATAAATAAGCACAACCGTTGTTTAGATTTCTGTATACTTTACCCCCTCTTCCCATTAATTTTCCCATTGATTTTCTTGTTGTTTACATATCTATAGTCTTAACTCAGGTTTACGTTGTGAAATATCTGGAAGTGAACAAAATGTGAATAATTATAAATAGGAATGAAAAGTAAACTTTCAATGTTCTATGAATATTTCTACATTGATGAAGCATCGGTTATGATGATGTATTCCAAATTGTTACGCATGATATAATAAGTGAAGTTTAGTCTATTACCCAAATAAACCAATGGCTACTAAGTTTAATTATTATCATTGTATAGAGCAGTTATCAATGTTTAATAGTTTTTTTTTCTAGTTTTTCTTTAAGACTACTCTGTGAGCAACTTCAAAGAAATATTATTAATTCTTTCATTTGTTGATTGGTTTAGATACACTTGTAAATTAAATGGTAACGATCATTCCCGTCAGTTTTTAAGGCTTGTTTTTGTGTCTGCTGTTTAAACAAATTATTGGTGTAGGAATTTGAATCCTATTTCATGTCATGAGGCAATCCCTAACTTGGAATCCTGAATGGAAACGAAAAAGAGGAAGGCCAAAGAACGCACTTCACCGAGAATTGGAAGCAGAAATGAAAAACATGAATAGCAAATGGAAAAAAGTGCAAAGAATTGTTCATGATAGAATTGGATGGAGAGTGATGGTGGGTGGCTTCTGCTCCTCCGTAACGGGTAACAGTCGTAAGTAAGTAAAGTAAGTTTTATCACAGTTGTTTATGATGTCACACACACATAACTTTTAAATTGAAACATTTTCGATTAGGTCTCAGTTTAAATTTCTAACATTTACCACACGAACATTTGTTACTAATGCTCCTGTGGTGGTCGGTGTTCGATATATTCCTTAAACTCCGTATACAGTTCGTCTCGGTAACCGTCACCAAATAATGCTCCAACGGTATATTAATCAGAAGGCGAATACGAAGTGTTAATAACGTTTATTATGGGACCACACACAGATGTCCAAAATTACAGGTGCGTTAAGCAAGCATGAAATAGTTGCGCCGAAAGGTAAACAGGCAAGCGAGCGGGCGAGAGAGAGCAAGGGCAAGAGCGAGCGATCGAGCGAGTAATGAATATGAATAACATGGACATATATATACATAGTGAAATGAATGAATCATCGAGTCAATTAAGTGGTTAATAGTAAAGCTAGTAGCGTGAATAAATGCGTAGGCAGTAAGGCTTGCCGAGTATACATATTCATACAAGCATAACAATAATGAAGGTACATACATTCACAACAGTAATAAGGATACAATAAGTTATTATAGTGCAGGTGACTTTGTCCGTTTAATAAGTTAATAAAAGGGCTTAACCGAATTAGGTGAGAGCAAACTCAATTGAACGTGAGTTGCTATAGTCCTAAACAATTACTGCATTGCCTATATCTTTAATAGTTTGGAATGGAAATTCCCTAGATAGCCTCTTAAAAGTGTTGATGAGATATTTTACTACTTAAAAAGAAAAAAGTAGGTAAAATATATAAAATCACTTTGTATCACGATTTGATGATTACTATTGACTATAGCACTACGTGAACACTTTCTAACATTTCCAGGTGTGTCTTTTTATATGCAACTTTGAACTTTAAATAAATAATGCAGTAAAACTCAAGCGTAGAAATCATATAAATTAATGTAGATATTTTCTTGTCTATTCATTAAAAATGGGATATATACAGAAGAAAAATATAATGCGAATACCATTTAAAATCTTATGGCGAGAGATGGAAAGAGAGAAAGTAAATGAATCCTGACACTAGAGATAAACAATGTATTTCATAACTAGAGATAAATCTCAATAATAATCAATGTTGTAATACTTCCGCTTTGAATATAATTTGTAATCCTCTATGTCAAGTGGGAATTAATTGAAATTGTTGAGAATATCTGATCATTATGTGTTCTATGGTACTAAACGAAAGATGGATATTGGCTAGCAGTGGAATTCAGGACGCGCGTTTCGTCCTATTCGGGAAACGTAAGCTGGATGTACCTGCATCACAGAGTTGATATCCACTCTGGGACTCGAACCCTATACCGTCCACTTCAAACGCCATCGCGTTATCCACTTAGCTACTGAATCCTGGTTGCCACTTACTTGTGCAATTGAGTGAAGTTTAATTCACTTGATATTGTTTTACTTGAATCTTCTCATTGATGTTTAGGACTGCAATTGATCAGTCTGTTATTGGTATATGTGCATACTTTGCGCATTGTATCGATATTGCTTTAATTTACAAGCAGTAGCTAAGTGGATAACGCGATGACGTTTGAAGCGGACGGTACAGGATTCGAATCCCAGAGTGAACATCAACTCTGAGATGCAGGTACATCCAGCTTACGAGTCCCAAATAGTACGAAACGCACGTCCTGGATTCCACTGCTAGCCACTATCCATCTTTGCTTATAATGCTTGTAAATTAAGGCAATATCGATGCAATACGCACATATGCACAATGCCAATAAGAGACTGATCAATCGCAGTCCTAAATATCAACGGGAAGATTCAAGTAAAACAATGTCAAGTGAATTAAAAATTATTATTATTGTCACTATATCTAAGATATAATCACATTTGAATTTGCATCATTTAAAACAAGGAAACTACAAAGCTATACCAGTGATGATATCGTCAGCTATACGATGTGGAAGTGGATGTTTAATATTCTCTGGAGATCTTTCTGAATAAGATCTTTGTGCTATTTGTCTGTTAGAATTATATTGATGGTTTGATTCCATAGGGGTTCCAATTAATTGAACAATACTTTCTGAACAGTTTTTAGAATTGTTTTTATTTATACCACCGGATGATGAACGCTACATGGATCAAAGGATATTAAAAACATGGTGAAAAAACACATCAGTTATAAATAGTTTAGCATGTATCGATCATAAGTTAAAAAGCTCTATATTGTTTTAATGTGTTTATTTAATTATTTCAATAAAGATAGATTGTGATTGGCACAATTTCGTGTTACCTGAAACCCATCATTTGAACGTTTCTGAATCTCAGTGTTGATGTTCCTAATAATGGCTTCATTTATCATGTAATGTATAATTAGTCGCAAGGCTTCAAATGTGTCATGATAGCAAGTGTTAGTAAACACTAATTGTCCCGGTGTAAAGGAATCGTTTACGATGTTTACATTTTCGGTAAAGCATGGATGAAATTGTTTTAATAATAATGGTCTTGGCTGCAAGGTACTTTCTATTGATACTTGTTTTAAAGCTTCGTTTCATAATGAAGCTATTTGGTTGACGATTGAATAGGTTTTCTTAAGATGATAGGGGCATAATAGGTGTCAATGTACTGCCATTACCTTATCGGTTTGTGAATTTTAATTGACACTTATTTTACATCAATATTGCGTTCATTAGATTCACTGTATCATTTGACCAGATATGGTCGATCTCATTGAATTAGCCTTTTATCAAGCCTCATTTTTACAGGAATGGATGATAACTACAAAATCTGAGATACTACTCTGTCCATGTAGGCTTTCGAGTATCTTCTTTTCTACTTATAAGAATATTTAAGACAGGAAGCTGGCTATTCTCCCCGTTTCAGATGAAAGACAAATGTAATTTTGAAGAGATTTATGTTTACTTAATAAATAATTCACATCTTTGATTTTGTCACTTATGACTTGTTTCATTCATATATCACATATGAAGATACATTTTCGATTGAGTTATTCGTCAACTCAACATATAACATAAATACGTCAGCTCATTGTAGTTCTGAAGGATTAACTATAGCACTGCCACCAATCTGTCAAATTTACCCACTCGAAATTATATAAAACAAACTAAGAAATCCTTGGGAAGTGTTACAAGAATAGGCAATTAAGGATTATCCGAAGAGGTAAGTGACACAAGGTATCATGTTCCTTATGTGACAAAATATTTTTAATCAAAGAATTAGCTTCGAAAGAAGGCACTATCTTTTCTTTGATATTATATCAGTGGTTGGTCAGCTTGAATGAACCATACAGAGTATGCGTGTCGTCGGACTGTTCATACTGACATATATAAGTAGTATTTAGTAACAGTGGAAAGTGGAATGCCAGCTAGTAGAAGGTTGAATTGAAGAGAAGAGGAAGGGAAATAGAGAGTAATTGGAATAACAATAAAATTGGAAGAATCTTGAAGAATGTTAAGGACAATTGATGAAAGATGTGAAAATAATGTATTTAATGTATAATTTTCATATTTTACTAAACCACTGTGTGATTTGTATCAAACAGTAAACTTGTTTTCGCACCACTACATATTTAAATTATTGTCAATAAGAATCAATAGTTACGTCAGATATTTTACAAGATTATATGTAGCTAGTTGATAAATTCATAAAACTGAATGTAAATGTATAAATACACAGAATGAGTTTTCTATAGTTTAGGAAAATTTCTGTTAATTTCTTATTAAATGCTAGACAGGAATATGAACCTAGATTACTTCTATGGGTAATTCCGCAAATACAGTGAAAAATCTATTTATGTTTAAGTATATGTACATTGTTTATAAATAAATTGATTTCATAATGAAGTCACCAGAACATTGATAGATAAACATACTCAATAAAGGTCCAGTTAACTGAAGTAAAACCATTAGTTAGATACTAATAATCAGCATAAATGTAAATGTGCCTACACTAATTTTTTTATTGAGAGTATGACGAAATATGATAACTAATTGTTATTTGTATCATTTCAGAACTTCTATATTTAAATTAAAAGTTTTAGGCTAATTCTATACTAATTTATGACTAGTTCGATGAATTAATATAAATTTGTTCTTAAAAGATATTTATGTGTATCTTACCTGACGTATGCTTACGTTATTTTGATTACTGATTCCTCCATGAACAAATTCTCCTGTAGAATTTGTATTATGTAATGGAATGGGATCAGGTGCAGAATTTCCACTGACAAGATATTGTCGAAGACGTTGTAACTGTTGTTCCAGTTGTCGATTATGTTCTTCAAGCATTACCATTCTAGCTTCAAGACGTCCTTTATGTTCCCATAATAATCGGGATTCTTGATGTGGTTCATTGGCTACACCACCAACCAATATTGCTTCATTCATATGTCCTTGATATTTGTATGGTGCCGATGTCGAATCTGTAGTATACTGGTCAGTAGTATATCCAAGGTCAAGAGAAGAACTATTAGCTCGTCCAGGCAAATTTTGTGCTGATAAAGGTACGATGCTTAAAAAGATGAAACAAAGTAGAAAAATATACGTTTTATTCAATGAGAGAGTTAAGGATAGCGAATTCTTGTTACAAGACCAAATGAAGAGAAGGAAACGCTCAAAACAAATGATTTTGTTTATCTGCAACTTAAAATGTGGCAAATCTGTTTATTTCATAAATGATGTTGAATTGAGAAATAATAAACAGGGTATTATTAAAACGTTAGTCAGTTATGTATTAAGACTCTAAAATATTATTCTAAAAATAAGATAATCCGTAAGTAGTCGATTATTTTATGAAATTACAATTACAAATTAGCACCACTGTGGTGTGTGCTACTTATATTAACATAAGTAGTATATAACGTTAGTCAGGAACAAAATGTCTCGTAGCGGAGAGACAAGAGGTTCGGACAGTAAAGAATGGGAACAGAATGCAATTTGTATGGAAATCCAAGAACAATGAAGTCTGAGCCATTTTGAGACAACTGATGGTCATTTTGCAAATTGAGCCTTTACTATACGATTGTTAGATTTTATTAACAAGTTCTGTAATTTTGTACCACATACATCCGATTGTTCCCCACTGGTGTTCTGTTCACTACACCACCTATTGTCATAAGGTTGAAATATATGCCGTAATCATAATGTTTCTATTCAGTAGTACAAATGATTACAGTAGTACTGCGTCCAGTGAGCTTTAAAGGTTACGTAAATTTCATTGTTGTCTATGATGATTTAACTAAACTTATCATCATTTCATAAAGTTATTAAATCATTAGTGAGTTAGGGCCGTACGCATATTGCATGAACTTGAGAGCTAGTGTACTCCAAAGTAACTGTCGGTTATCACTGAAGTTGATAGCTTATTTTCAACAATAATATACAAATTTCATTACAAAAAAATATTTTAATGAAATAAGCTTTCATTAAAATCACTACATACGTAAAACTGGCTAATATGATTAGGTCTATGAATATTTATCTACCAATTAATAGTACTGTGTAATCTAGGTTAAACTTTCATGATAAGTGATATTAACTTTTCAACATTAACTTACCCTGAATCCAATGGACTTGATAAAAAGTGGCCACTATTAATTGATAATGTTCTACACGGTGAATTAGTTGGAGTTATAGTTCTTTGTATACTATTTACACGACCTGTTTCTGTTGACTGGAATGGTTGAGGATATAATAAAGGATTTAGATGAGGTATTCTAGCATTGACACGTTGTTGTGAATATTGTATTCTATTCATTGTACCATACGATCCCGTTATATTCGTTGGAGTTGTAGATCTTTGTCTTAAACGATCATATTCATACTGTAACGCACGATGTTCATCTTCAAGTGATCGAACGGTCTATTTTTTAAAATATACACAAATAGAAAATCGTAAAATTTAGGAAACCTGTAATACTCATATAATGATACTTATCTAATAATCAGTGAACAATAAACGGAAAAAACAGCAGAAAAAAATTACGTCGATTAGTTTTTAAGCATAAACTGTATGCCTTCAGAGTATAACATTTAATTAAGAATCGTCTAGTTTGATACACATATGTGGAGCGTTCTGCTGACAAAATGCTTCTAATTATGGATCGCTTTTTGCTGTATGAACCAACTCAAAAGATCAATGTCAGTATAGAGTAACGTAACTAAATTCCATATTTCTTATATGATTAAATATCGACCTATTTAACAGGAAAATTTATTACTGCAGTGTAATTAATAGCTTACCTGTTGCATTTGTCCATAGGGCTGTTGTTGTAATTGTTGGATTGGATAGTTTGTAAGATATGCTGGGGGACGAGAAAGTATATTTGTGCTACCGATAGGTTTCCACATTGTTTCTTGAATCTCCGGTGGAGGTTGTGATCTAGCTCTTAGTGAAAATGTACGTTGAATATGACGTGCATAAATATCTGGATTAACATCTTGACCCATGGAAGTGTGATAAGATGTTTGAGCTAAATGACCAGTTGGGCCGTATTGATTGTCAGTGCGTAAAGTACCATTTAAAGCACGTGGTGTCCATCCAGAAAAAGATCCACGTAGTGCAGGATTTCCAAAACCTAATGGTGGGAAAGTTACCCCTCGATCTATATGACGTCGGTCCAAACTAAGATGTCCACTAATAAACGGTTGTGTTTGTTCAACATCCATACCTAGAACATTCGTTGAAATACCATCTGATATGGTAGATCTTTCCATGATCATTGGACCAGTGGAACAAGACATTGATTGAAGTACTGACGTTTGTTGCAAATGAGGCTAAAGTGATAACACAAATGAAATAAATGTATGCACCTCTGTTTATAGTATTACAATAAATTCGAGACATTTCCTACTCAGACTTTTATTATTTTGATATTATTTCAGTTGATGAGTTCAGGATAGTGGTTATGATCTGACGCTTAATTTTATGCAAACTCTTGTGGGAACTCCGAGATGATATTTAAAACTTAGGATGTTTGGAATTCTTACATAAAGTCATTTATTTGCGATAGTTACGCTTACAGGAAGAAAAGATTATTTTAGGAGTTTAAGGTGTAGATAGACAACCTGTTACATTATTTTTTCACTGCTAACCACTACGAGTTATACCAGATAGCGTATCGAAATAAATTTATTGTCACACCGAAAAGTAATATGGTTGAAGAAAATTAGGATATAAAGAAAAGCAAAGAATATCGGGAATTTTCTAAATTTATTGATATGATAGTGTGGACAGTGACATCTTTTGATGCATAATTCATTCATGTTACTCAAAATAATGTGGCCATAACATTTCTCCCTCTTACTATATTACTTTGAAAGAAAGTTAAAACTGATCAGTTTTCCTTGGAGTATCAATACATGCCAAGAGGTAAGTATAATAGCGATTCTCACAATTTGTTCTAAGCACCTACAGACTTTCCTATAGATGCCACTCCATCGATGGTAGAAGAAATCAGGATGGCCATCACATACATCAACAGTCGGAAATCAGTAGGACCTGAAAATATACCAATCGAAGCACTAAAGTCAGACACATAAGTAGCTACAAACATGCTATACTTCCTATACAGGAAGATTTGGGACAAAGAACAAGTGCCACTGACAAACTGGAAAGAAGGATAACCCACCAAGGTACCAATAAAGATCTCAGCGAATGTGAGAACTACAGAGGCATCACATTACTATCGGTACCAGGAAAGGTTTTCAACAGTGTTGCTGAACCGGATATAAGATTCAGTGAATGCTCAGCTTCGAGATCAACATACTGGATTCTGTAAGGATCCGTCATGAAGAGACCGAATCGCGACACTGCAGATCATTCTTTAAAAATCAGTTGGGTGGAGAGCGCTTGACAGAGTGAATAGGAGAACACTATTGTGCCTTCCCCAAAACTATGGTATACCTGAGAAGATCGTCAACATCATCCAGAACTCATACGATGGACAATAGTACAAAGTCGAGCATGCAGGACAGTTGATGAATGCATTCCAAGTAAGGTCCAGAGTCAGATGAGGCTGATTACTCTCCCACTTCCTCTTTCTTTTGGTAGGTGACTGGATCATGAAGATTCCGATATCTGGATGGAAGCACGGCATACAATGGACGGATAAAAATTAATTAGAAGATTTGGAATTGGCAAATGACCTGATCATTCTATCCAATACACGCGAACAAATGTGGATGAAGACAACTAGTGTAGTAGCAGCCTCTGCATCAGTAGGCGTCAACATGCACAAAGGAAAAAGCAAGGTCCTCAAATATAACACGGAAAACATCAACTCAATCACACATGATAGAGAAACTCTGAAAGAGGTGGAAATGTTCACGTATCTGGATAGCATCATCGATGAATAAGGAGGATCTGACGCGACCCGAAGGCAAGGAATGACAAAGCGAGGGCTGCATTTCTACATCTGAGGAACATATAGAACTCAAAACACCTGTTAACCAACTTTGAGAACTACCACAACCATCATGAAATCGGTACAAGTATTTATAAACAATTGTGTACGCACAATACTCAGTATGCGTTAGCCTGATATGATCAGCAACACGCTACCGTGGGAGAGAACATATAAGCTTTCAATGGAGGAGGAAATTAGGAATAGACGTTAGAAGTGGATAAGGCATATATTCAGGAAATCATCTAACTGCATCAAGAGACAAGCGCTAACTTGGAATCCTGAAGGGCAAGTGAAGAGAGGAAGTTCGAAGAACACACTTCGCTGAGAATTGGAAGCAGACATGAAAACGATGGATAGCAACTGGAGACAACTAGAAAGTATTGCTCAGGAGAGAATTGGATAGAGCTTGCTTGTGGGAAGCCTATACTCCTCTACGGTGGGATAACAGGCGTAAATAAGTAAGTAATATAAGATTTGCAGGGATCTTAGCTGATCCGGAAAAGGTCTCTATCAAAACTTGAGCAGTTTTCATTGAATGGTTTTGTTGAATCCAACAAACAGTTATATTTAAAAAATAATTTAATCATTAATTTAACATTGTACTTATATGTTTAGGCTAATATTTTTCGTTTGTAATCTGAATTAAGGATGCATCAGCTTCACAGATTACAACTACTTCGAATAGTACAAGTATGTTAGTAGTGTAAACTACTATTTGTAAAACAATAGGTTTAGAGTTTTGGTTAAATTAAAAAGATACGTTTCTCTTAAGAAAAGAATATGATTTTCAAAAACAATATTTATTTACCAATTCAGGTTCGCTATATTGTCTTAATTCTTGACTATAACGTGCAATTAATTTATGTTCTTCATTATCACCATGATGTTGTTGAATATTTACACGTTCACTAGTTGGCTTGTAACTACCGTCAAGGTCGGTATTTAATCTTGAGTTCATTTGTAAAGTTTGAGGTGATGGGGTTGTTGTTGTTAATGGTGGTGGTGTTGTAAATAAATTCGTATTGATATTTTTCTGTCTAGACATTAATGATTGAGTATCAGATGATGCACGCGGTGGCATTGAGTATTGATTTGAAGGTATAGCTACATTTGATAATGGTCTACAACTTGGACTAGGACGTTGATTATTATTATCATTATTGTTATAATTATTACTTGTCTCGTTTAGAAAATAATGTTGAGGTGATTGTGTATTCGAGATCGAATTTCGATATGGGCATTTCTGATCATTAACGAACGGAGTGTCTAAATTTTGATATTCTGCAAAATCAGAGAATGGATCTTGACTGTAAGTTGGTGCTGGACGAGGTTTACTATTAGTGAAAAAGAAATGACAATGAAAGTTGAATTTTTCTAAATCAATGTAGATACCTACAAAACGTATAATGATGAAAACTTCTATAGCGAGATATCAAAGCTCATAGTTATAAATATTCTGCATTGATAAAAACTTATAATGGTTACTTCTTATATATTCGGATACTACGGTATGAGATGGCTATTCATATCATTATACTATTCAAGTCAAAGTGTAGAAGGTTTGTGAAACGTACTGGATAAGACCTAATGTGGTTATTTTTAAAGAGCCAGCCATTTAAATTAATATGGAGATAAACATCCTTCTATCAATCCTCTATAAAAGTGAAATATCTATCAATTTTGAACATCTTTCCGTTCATCTGGTAGTTGATTACTACATATAAGAGCACGAATACCATTCAAAATTTCATTTTAGTCATTTAAAGCAATTTAACTATATCCTTTTACGAACAATCTACTGCAACGCATCCCAACTTGTCGGAAAAAAGTCAATTAAATGAGAGTTAAACCTTGAAACGTAATCCTCAGTAAAGACCATGCTTATGTACGTATGACTCATTCACTGAATGAATGACAAAATGCCCGAAAATGTTTAGTACCTAATATATATAACGAACACTGAGAAACGAATGGGCTACAAATTTATAGACACCTATCCTATTAATCAGCATAGTGTTTCTGTCTTTTAAACTTGTAGTTGTTGAGAAAAGAACTCAACAAAACAATTCACATTCACTGAAGTTATCAAAGTGAAATTAAATATAAACATATTAGTTTCAATATAACTTTCCAATATACGATTTTGTAACATATTATATATTGGATAACATTTCGGATATAAAATATATTACAAATTATTCAATCAAGATATTAAGACAACCCGAGGATTCGTCACAATTCTAAGAATTTTTTTCCTGGTTTTACAATCAGTTATGATCCTTCTGACTAAATTATTTACATTCTTTGTAATGTGTAGCGGTTTCACAATATACATCTTTCTGCAAATCTATACATGTTTAAACAAGCAAAATGTCTCACAAGTAAATGTGTCTATTTCAATCCCATTAATTATATTTCATTTATTCTAATATAATCAGTTATTAACTATCACACATTTACATTTTTATAGACATGGTAATGTATGCATATTTGTTTACCTACTTATTTCATTAAATGTATGAACTATATGTAAACCTATTCATTAATTGACAAATTAAGTTTGGCTGCCAAGGTAAACATATATATATATATTAATTACATTTTTTAGGTTTCTATTTACTTACAACACTCAAATCATAATACTCATATAGAATTAATTTGGAAAGAATCTGTTCATTCAGTATTACTGTTATAAAAATCATTGAACTTTATGATGAAACCTTATAGATCGACTGTTTTAAAGAAAAGATAAATTGATCATAAACCATTTTATTTTTAACTTCTTTTAATTTAATAGATGAAATTACAAAATACATAGAAACCTTAGATTTTATATTAGTATCGATTATGAACGGAATCAATTGTGTGTAACATCAGTTCTCAGCATAGAATTTTCTTGGCTTAATAGATTAGATTGAACATGTTATAGAATATATACTACTACTAATAAAAATATATACGAATATTCGTCAAGATTAGAACGAATGGTTTGACAGAATTTGAGCGCCTAGTAAAGAGAAGTCATTATATGTGAAAAATATATTTGAAATTACCTCAGCGATTGTTATTTAAAATAATTCCAACGTTTCGTCCAACAAACTTGTCTGGACTTCTTCAGGGTAACAATCAGAATCATCAAAGAAATATATAGCTTTATAGCAATTAAAACTATATTATGTTAAACTAATCATATTTAGATGCTGATTTTTGAAAATAGGATAAAATGAGTCAGTTAACCGCGAATCATATGAAAAATTCAACTACATGGAAATAATTAACTGAAACAACAAATTGTATGTGTGTGAATGTGTATGTATGTATGTATGTATGTATAAGAAAGCTATATATATTACTTTGATGATTTTGATTTTGATTATTACCTTGAAGAAGTCCAGACAAGTTAGCTGGACGAAACGTTGGAATTATTTTGGATTTCAATTGCTGAGATTATTTTAAATATAATTTTCACATATAATGAATAGTAGTAATATTTTAATATACATTATAATTCAGAAAATAATCATATTATGATTTAAAAACAAAAAAGCATTATTGTTTAAATAAAACATACTCTTCATCAAAACTATTCAAACTATTGCGTTTACATCTTGTACGACTTGTACTGGATCGTCTGACTTTTTGACCATTTGTATTATTAATTTTACGACGTTCATTTTCATCATTTAAACGATCTCTGGATCGAAAACGATTTCTTACAATTCGTGTAAAATCTTTAAATGAATCTGTAGATGTAGACTACAATGATGATGTTAATTATTAAAAAGAAAAAACAAATGGTTAATTAACACGGAAGATAGTTAAGAGGTAAAAGAAATAAATGAAACGAAATCCAAGTTAATATGTTATACTTTTAAAAAAAGTATTATGTTTAGTATGTAGGAAATGAAATGCAAAAAATCTTTAAAAGTTTATTGTATTTTAGTATTCTTTACCAAAATCAATACATTTTCTTATCATTGAATGTTTCTATACACACTATAAGGTCACATCGTATTGTACTTAGTACTTAGGAATTACATCATGAATATTAAACAACCATGAAGTGTTTGAAGAACACACTATAGTGTATTCACTATTGACTGATTCATCGGGAGAATATACCTGTCATTGAATGTCATTCTTCTCATGATTGTAAATGATCGCACGTATTATAATTGGTTAGTTTTAACTACAGTTAACTTCCAAGGTAATTCTGTCGCTCCTTTTATTAATATACTGAACTAGATCAATCATTCCTTTATGGAAACGAATTACTTATTTACCCACCAGAATAGACTTCCAAATTCCATAAGTGTATGTTGAATATTAAGCAGTTATTCATGGACATTGAAATACGGTTTTCTAAATCTTGATTTATTGACTTAAGAAAATACTATTTGTAACAGATAAATAGATTTTAAAAACCTAAACTTTCTCATAGTTGAAACTAAGAAATGATCATACTTATACAACTAAAATTCGTTCAGATATAATTATGACCTTCATCCAGTGTTTATATATGTAACAGTTTAGAAGCTTTCAGCTTCTAATTATTTAAGTGGAAAAAAACAAAGAAATAAAAAAAACCGACTTACATGACTACAATACTCTTGCATTGGATGAGTAAGCTTATGATTTCGAGATGTTCTTCCAGCAAAAAAGCATTGCTGACACATGTCAAAATTTAGACAACGTAAACAACGATATCTAAAAATTATAGAAACCAACAGGAAATATTCAAAAAAATTTAAGGGTCCTAATGAATAAGCTGAATATTACTATGAGTTGTACTCGAAGAAAGAATACAAATATTATGATGATTATGTGTTCACTTTTCAATATCAAGTTTTTTTGTATAAAATGTTCATATTCAAATCATTACACGTGATTTAATTAATGTATTATTATTAGTAGTAGTGTGGCGTGTGCTACTGATGTCGACAGAATTAAGTAGTATACATCACCAGTTGAAAGTGGAATGCCTGTCAACAGATGGTTGGGAAAATCGAAGAGAAGAGAATGAGAACAGAGTTGCTGGTATGGAAACGAAGGAACAATAAAGTTTGAGATAGTTGATGGATATTTTATAAATTAAGTATTTACTGTATGTTTCTCAGATTTTACCAAGAGATTCTGTAATGTATTAAAACGTGTTTGATTGTCCCCACTGGAGTTCTCGTCCACAACAGTAGTAGCCCAAAGTTTACTTTTTTTTGAGTGGATAATATTTCATTTGACTAGGTGACCACAATTTCGATGACTTATATTGACAATAAATAAGTACACTTGCATAAAGTATTAAAAATCAGTAGTGTTAATAATTATATCATACAGTCTTCTGAGTTATCTACACGAAACGTGCTTGATTATTTAGTGAAGTGTATATTATAGTAGATCTATCAAATTATGACGGTAAATAAATCACGGGAAATATTTGAATGTCATCATCTGTTGGGGTATTCAGAAAATACTGTTTGGAATAACATTCCTTTCACTAGTCTTCTGTCTTCTCTTTGCGACTTGGAAGGGTTTGGGCGTTCAAGTGTTCAGCTGTACGCGTTATATCAAGTAAATCAACCATTTCTAGATATAACAATTGGCGACGGGGTAGAAAAAAATTTCTGAACCCTCAATCTTCAACGTTGACCTGTAATTGGACGAGATTCAGTCTAATTATTTCGAGCAATCAGCATTCAATTTTGTCATCGGCGTCCTTGAAAGACATTGGTCGTTAATTAATTATACAACATTTCTCATCACCGTGCTGATTCAAGAAATGGCTATCTCTCCCGACCAATTACAATTGCTATTTGAGCGACAAACGCAGCGTTTCAAAAATAGCCAGCTGAATGTTTTAGACATTTTACGTACACGGCTGCTAAATCATCCATGTTTTGGAGATGTTACAGAAGTTGATAAATTAATTTCTAATTTGCATACGGAGCTGGAAACGGAATGCAGTACATATGAATGTGCTGATAAAAGCCTCTATGAATCCTTGATGAGCAGTAATGTAAGTGAAACAGTCATTCATGATCCGCCCAGTGATCCAGAAATGTCCACTCCAAAAGCATGCCCAGTAATGGATCCAAACTCCATTATCCTTGAAACATCATGTACAGACAGTGATGTATCCAGCTCACAAAAGGACGCCCTGCTAAATGTTCATGTAAGTGTCGCAGTAACCGCCCATGAAACAGAAAACAAATCGTGCAGTACACTGAATGCAGCTGCACCAAATGAAGCTCATCATTCCGCGATAGAAGTTCCTGACGAATCTAATCGCGATTCCCTTGATTTGCCAGAAAATATGTCATATGTGTCAAATAATGATCAAGAACCTGATTCAGTTTTGATGGACGCTGATTATCATAGCGATCCACTATCTACTAGTGATATTCTTGATAAATTTGATGATAATATTTCCGAAGAATCAAAATTCGATGACCTCATGTCAAGCGTCTTTCACCCTCACCACTTAGTCATGCTCGGTCGATTTCTTGTGCACTGCGACAAATATATTTTAATTAAAGTCAAATCAATTGTATTTTGGGTATATGAGGACCCAACATTGTTTCGTGGGGGAGGATGGACCCGAGAAACTTATATTCCGGATATCAGGTCCGGATCTTCAAAGAAGGGGAGGTGTTGGGGTATTCAGAAAATACCCCAGAAATTATCTAATGCTATTCCTGAATGAGAAGTAGTGTCATTTCCCCATTGGTCAACATTCTTCCAACGTGTCATCTCCTTATTGGTCAATATTTAATTGTGTCATTTCCTGAAGGTTAAATCTTGTACAAATGTTACTTTCTATTTATGGTACGATGTAGTCTGTTTGTTTGGTATATAAACAGTGTATGTTTGAAATATAACGATTCATATCTCCGAGGCTGAGACTTGTGTTCTGGACTCAATTGGCTGGGCTAGACAGGGAAGCAGGACCAATCAGAGCTCTAGGCTGCTCGGTCGTGTTTTATGCGTCGCTGTTTCGATCGATAATAGGCTGCTCTCTAATAGGCGGATCACAAGTTATAACATCATCGAAATCGTAATTCATGTTAGAGCTTCTTTCATAACTTAACACAGCAACTGATTCAAAGTTTTTGTAAGATGGTACTAGGTGAAAGAACTTTATTTTGTGAATTTTGAAGTTGTATTTACAACTCTTAATGATTCAAAGTACACATAGATGTTTTTCTGCTTTAAGCGGAAACAATTCGATAGTGTTTCCACTAATCATTTATCCGAAATTGGCATTTATTTACAAGATATCTCTCAGATTCTGAGTTCACATGATTAAATATAGAATTTAAATAGTGAATGGTTCTGCTAATAAGGATTGTTAGTTTAGCATACATTCTATTCTTCGGAAACAATATATATTACGACTTCATTGAGGCCGAGAATTATGAAATCAGTCATCATTCTTGTAAGAGTTCGAAAATGCTTGGAAAATTCTGGCATTAAATTATTAACTGAATGATTGAAATTTCAACCTCGCGAAAAGTATGAACGAACAGTTACCGTTACTCATGAAAAGTAATATCTTAAACATTAAATTGAAAATTAATTAACAACTAACTCCCTTTCTTATTCCATAGTGTCAATGATTATATCACTGAATGAAGCGCCTATTACATAATGAAGACAATTTTATCATATAGGTTTTTTATACCGTTACGTAATAAACATGAATATCCATTCTTGTCCCAATAAAATTAAGAAAAAAACGATTGAGAGCTAAACAGATATTAAGTATAAGTGTTGCGAAACATTTTCAGGTGTATGTTTAATAACTTTTAAAAGAGTTGGCTTTTTAAATTATTTAAAACTTCAGTCAATGTTTGTAAGTATTGCAGTGAACGCGAATACGAGTGGGGGACAATCGAATGTATTTGACACGAAATTACAGGGCATTTCAATAAAATCTGAGAACCATTCAGTAAATACGTAATTTGCAATATATCAATCCATCGTCTCAAATTTGACTGCTCTTTTGCAAATATCAGTCCATTGTCTCAGATTTCATTGTTCCTGCATTTTCATACCAATTGTTTTTTGTTCCCGTTCTTTCCTTATCGATCTTCTACTGTAATACATCCTACGCCTGACCACTGTTATATACTTCTTATATGAATGTAAGTAACCCACACCACACTATACTTAAAGTATAACAAGCTTTCTTTTGACTATTGAAACTTAATCAGTTATTTCATTCAAAACACTTTCAAAAAGCTTTGTTTATGAATTCCGACTAACACAGAAGGTACATTTCGAAATTACGATAAATTCTAACGAATGGAACACATTTAAAGTAACCTTAATGTTTTAACTATGAAATTTTTTTATTAGTTTCATGTTATATTATTGATGGTAAAAATTGATAATTATCTTATTTAAAATTCAGATAAATTAACAATTTTGAAGTACATTTCTGTGTCATGTTTCAGATATATAAAACAAGATACGCTTACGGAAAGAAAATTTCTCAATCAACTAAATTTTTGCATAAATTTATAACCATTTGTGAAAATGAAATATTGTAATGGAAAGAACGATTTTGTGGTTAGCAATTATGAATAGCCTAAGTTACTCGATACTCAATTGTGTAAGTCTGAACTCAAAGATCAATCAACGGTAAAGAACCAAATACAGGCAAAAACAAGAGTTTGTTAACATATAATGCAAAGAAGACAAGTTAAAATGTAACAAAATTCGAATCAAAGCTCGACGTCGTTTACATATCTGAGTCTTTTATATTTAGTATAACCTTGTATTTCTGTCGTCATTCATTAATCAATTAAAGTTTACTTTAACATGATAAACTAGATTTCTTTATATGTGGTGCAAAATTAACGTCTAATAAACCAAGGTATCACATTGTTTGTTTCTAATAAAGAATAGCTATTAACACAATCAAAACATAATGATCATGATCTAATTATGACAGGATCTGACAATAGAGTTTTGCTTACAACAAAACTCTACACTGAGAGTTATTTATTTTCCAACGATTAAGGGCACTTTAGTTTGATTAATTTTGGAGTCTTTTATTATGCTATTTCCGAGGACATTATGAATATATTTACACATAAAAGTGGTTTACCGAATCAATCTTCTAAATTTGAGGTTTGACTTTACATTTCGGATTAATTAGTGTCATGTTAATGGTGGTTAAAGCAGATTATTTACGTTTATTGTGGAAATCAGTTAGTCAAAACATATCAGTATAATAGTTTAAGTAGAACATTGTAAAATTAACAATTCCCCCAGAAAACAAGTTTTGTTATAAAACTCAAAAATACACACATACCTTAGTCCAATAAGAGGTTGATTATGACATACACTACAACGTATATGATGAATTACTTGCTCAGATAAAGCAAGACGATGTAATAATGGTAACCATGTTAACATTTGTGGATTTAAACGAAGCCATGTCAGGAAATGAACAATCCTTGCTGACGGTTTAGAATGATATGTTAAAGTTCCATCTATTTTATCCGAATGCTTTGAAATTTCAAGGACCTGAAATAGTAGAATTTGGACAAAATATGAAGAAGTTTCAAACAAAGTTTATAGTTTACAGAGAAACTGCATTTATACTTGATTGTGCTTGCTTATAAAATACAGATTATTACTAAACATTATTTGTTCACCCACTGTAGTATATTATTGTATCTAATAGATTACCCGATCAATTATAACAGAAAACAATTAAAGATTAAACCGTAGTCCTTTAGTTGACTTTTAGATGTGATAATGTTGTCTAACTTGATAGAGAGACAATTGACAAAAGAGAGATGATCCAGTCTATAGAATTTATAAATGAAAACAAAATATGATTGGAAAATATTATCCGGAGGGTGTTGTGACAGATTCACAATCCTTTAGATCATTTGCTACAAGGGTATGTAAACATTTCAACTTCTATTATTCATCAAACCAAATGCCATTTAAACTTTTTTCATAAGTTGAAATATTTGCAATGAAACATATGATCTAAAATGTCACTCAGCCAGTCAGTCAAACATACGCAACGTAGAATCTGATTTTCCTCATAAACTGGGATGATCGGAGATTGGTACCAATCAGATAGGATAACGTCCAGTCTTCAGATTCTGGTTAAGATCTCAGTCAGTATGGACCATTATCCCTAAAAATTTTCGGAGCTAGTCTATCCAGATCTGCTGTTCTCCTTCACTTTAGATTACCTATAGCCTGTTCAGTTTCCATTAGAGTTGAATGATTGCTTGGAAGTAGTGGGTAAGTGAAGGCCAGTTGAACTGTTCCCTAATTTGTTCTGCCCATTGGTGCAGCCTATTGAACTAAGTGTGAATAATAGTTCCTTCTTTTCGAAATGTTGTATCTGACAGCCAAATTTATAAGACCTGTTTCTTTGATAGATCTACCTATCTATCTAGAAAAATCTTACTTAATGTATAGATTACAATTAAGGTTGAATACTATCAGTTGTTTAAGAAAACTTATTGATGAAATATTGTATAACAGACGATCTACCAGTGAATTAGAGTATCACAATAAGAAAATTAAGGGTTTTTTGTAAGTTACACCTAACTCTGAAACCCAGATTGCTTTGTGAACAATCAGTTATATTATTTGTGAGGAATTCATTATCTTTTTATGAACGAACTAATGAAAATGTTCTGAATGTAAGACTTCGTAGAAATAGGTTAGAACAATTCTATATTCATACAGTTCTTCTATAATATGATTATAGTTCAGTATTATCCATTGGAAGCTAATTACCAAATCAAATTTTGTATTTTCTTAATTGTCACTAGGGTTATTCATAATAAAATAATAAAAAATGAAGATAAAATGAAATTGAACATTTGTTTCATCATAATTTTGAACTTTTCAACATGTTACAGCATTTACTTTCCACTAGATTTATTAAGCTATTCAAGTTAATACTGAAGAAAATAAACATTATTCAGAAAGTCAAATGTTTGATATTAGAATTTATCGACTACTTATGTTTTGATAAGTAGCCGAATATATTTACAAAATATATTTGGTTTACAAAAAGGATCTGGAGGTCTGTTAAAATTTGTGACCATGATGAGATAGTAAACAAATAATATCTAGATCTCTCCACTATTTCACAGAAGCCTATACTTTTGAAAGGACCCATTACATTTTGGCGCGCAAGGAAGAAAATAGAAATATATTACTTTTAATCTATTGTTTTACTGTTGTTAGTTAATTGAAGTATAGTTCACACCTAGCTAGAAGGAAACAGTTTTTCTTCACAGTAACTCTAACAAATATATAATGACTATATTTGAAACGTTAAACTTTACTGATTGAAACTAATCATATTTCCAATGGAAAGTGTTTGATAACATACTTGTTGGAAACACGTTTTTACATATTGATTAAAATCTTCATTTCCAAACTGTCCAGTTTCACCAAGATTACGTGGAATTAGTACACATTCATACAATAGAGCACCTAGTCGTTGCTCATCTACACAACCATCACGATCAGATATCAGACTGAATAGATCTATGAAGTGAAAAATAAAAATTTAACTACATCTGTTTTCAAGACGTTTTTTTGTCAAAATGCATTATAGAAAAAAAATTTGTTTCTGTTCTTTTATTTGTAAGTGATTGGCATTAAAGTTAACTAAAAATACTGGATCTAAATACATTAGTTTTATAGAACGCAAATGTCATCAATTGATCTTCTGCTAGGTGTTTTTAGATGGAATCATAAAACCCTGTTTCTAGGTTTAGTGTCAGTCGGTATTGGTTACAAGTTGTACCTGAAACCTTGAGGTAACTGACGCTTTCCACAAGACTACAACTTTCTCAAAACAGCTTCACGTTATGACTAAGCTTTTAAGACTTATAAGGACCTCCTGAAGTTTATTCTAAACGATGGGCTTTTTAGTCTAAGACATTTATTGGAAATACTGAATTTCTTAGTATAGGGTTAATCTGAGTTCAAAAACGTTAATGGATAGTTTAAAAAACTATGATTTTACACAAGGTACCTAATGATGTCTGTTACTCTGATTCAATAATGCTGTTTAATTTGTATCTACATTATATAAAATTGTAATGTATTAGATATTAATTTCATGACTTTTATTCGTGTAATTTTTACTTATCAGTAACTTAGTTGCAGTAGAGAAAGGCCGTAGTGAAAAAAGTCAAAACTGTCATCTCTATTCATGAAAAAATGGTTGGTGATGATGATATATTGAGTGTATATATCAACTACTAATGTAATGTTTGTTCTGAGTTAGTAAATTTTTACCATGGACCACCTAGAATTTAAAAGAGCTTATCTCATAGAATTATTGCGTAAGTTGTACACAAAATATTTTATCTCAGTAATTTCATCAGTCTGATACCATATTATCAACTGAATGATTTCAACAAATCAATAATCTGAGTAAAATATTAACAATTCAAATAAAATTTCAGGTAAAATTAAAAAACTGAATTTTATTATCAGTATGGGAATTCGTGGAGATTGTAGTATTTTCACAATTGAATTCATGAGCTGATTTAAGGTAGACTATCATTAACAATCTGGAAACACTGGATGACTATTCTTACTTCAATAATTCAACGATGTTGCGCGACCATATTTCATTGCCTTTAGTGGGTAACTGTCTCACACCTGACACAGATTGAACTTCAATGGTTAGGACTTCTCAACAGACACTGGATGCCGGCTCAGTGGTCTAGAGGTTGGGCCTTCGTGTGCGAAACTGAAGGTCCTGGGCTTGAGTCCCGCATGCGGGAATGTAGATGCGCACTGCTGAAGAGTCCATTACTAGAAAGAAATGGCCATCCATTGCTCTCAGGTTTCCATTGGCGGTCTAGATTAGATCGACTCATGAATTCAACCGTATTTTACTAATCTCGTGGATATCAATTCAAATTCGATTGAATGGTTTTTTAAAGTTTTGTTTGAAAATGTTTTCAGAAATTAACCATGTGTCTGAATTGTACTTACATCGATATTTTTCATCTAAATTTGCCATTGACATTAAAGCTAATGCTACTTTGAATGAAAGAACACGAATGGTACCACATCGCATTCTGTAGAAAGAGATGATGAAAAAATAAATTTGAAATAAAACAGTATTACAAAAATAATATGAAAATATTTCAGAAAAAGAAATGAAGTCTATGTTAATTAAGGTTCCTTTTCTAGTACCTAGTTGCTAAGACGAAGAACAAATGATTTTCAAGTCGAATTTTTACAGAGAATTTTACTCATGTACAACCAATCAGAAAGTGGAGAAGACGATAGGAATAAGCCAATATATATCTTATTAATTTAGTTATATTTAAACTAATTTAGCCCAGTGATATTGTAAACTCTGTCCATACTTAAATTTAATGAATAAACAATGTTAAGTATTTATGAGTTCAGTGTGTTCATACATGATTGTTGATCAGAAAAGTACATAATGTATAACGTGCTGCATTTATAATACGGCTTTTGGTCATTATTTTTTTGTTGTATGATAAATCCTCATCTGTCTTCGTTTCACACTTCTTTATATCATACTAATCACAGTATTTCTTATTCCAAGTACCAGTCTTCGTCTAAATATAACAGTCAGCAAGCATTGTTTTATTCACAGTTAAAACAAACGTAATCAATATTCGATTACTTCTAAATAATGTTACCAGTTTTTTATATTGAAATTGAAAAAAATACTATATCATAGGTAAATGCTAACCAGAAGTAAGGAGCTATACAGATTGTTTGGTTTCATCTATAGCATACTTTTTAAAATGTTCACTGTTTTTATGCAAATAAATAACTGATTCTGATAATGACAGAGAGATGACAATATTTTTTGATTATGTAACATGTACTGTGGTGTGCTTTACTTATGACCACATAAGTAGTATATAACGATAGTCAGAAATAGAATGTACTTCAGTAGAATATCGAGAATGAAAGAACGGGAACGTAAAGCAATTGGTACGAAAATGCAGAGACAATGAAATATGAGACGATGAACTGATATTTACAAAAGAAACAGTCACGTTTGAGACAAAGGATTGGTATTTTGCAAATTACGTATTTACTGAATGGTTCTCAGATTTTTGTGAGATATTCTGTAATTTCGTGTCAAATACATTCGGTTGTCCCCACTTGTGTTCTTATTCACTACAGGAATATTTAATTTAGTCTCTAAAGGTAAATGTGACATAGCTTCAGGTCACAATCTGGTGGTTGCCAAAATAAAACTGAAGCTAAAGAAGCACTGGACAAACAGTATTACAAAGGTTCAATACAGTCTTCTTTCGAGAAAGTGACAAACTCAACGGTTATACTCAGATGAAATATATAGAATTTAAAAGATTACATATTCCGTCGACAGCGGAAAAAGCTGCATGAGAAGGAAATCAGAAACAACCATATGACACAATGAAGAGACTAGCAGGGAAACATAATAAACCAAAGTGACCGGCCAAGAACAAAGAAGGCAAGACAATCACTGAAATTCAAGAGCAGAAAAACAGATAAGTAAAATTCTTCGTGGAACTCTTGAATAGACGAGCGCCACTGAACCCACCAGATATTTAGGCATTACCTATAGACCTTCCTATAGATGTCACTCCACCGACGATAGAAGAAATTAGGATGGCCATCACATACATCAACAGTCGGAAATCAGTAGGACCTGAAAATATACCAATCGAAGCACTAAAGTCAGACACAAAAGTAACTACAAACATGCTATACTTCCTATACAGGAAGATTTGGGACAAAGAACAAGTGCCACTGACAGACTGGAAAGAAGGATAACCCACCAAGGTACCAATAAAGATCTCAGCGAATGTGAGAACTACAGAGGCATCACATTACTACCGGTACCAGGAAAGGTTTTCAACAGTGTTGCTGAACCGGATATAAGATTCAGTGAATGCTCAGCTTCGAGATCAACATACTGGATTCTGTAAGGATCCGTCATGAAGAGACCGAATCGCGACACTGCAGATCATTCTTTAAAAATCAGTTGGGTGGAGAGCGCTTGACAGAGTGAATAGGAGAACACTATTGTGCCTTCCCCAAAACTATGGTATACCTGAGAAGATCGTCAACATCATCCAGAACTCATACGATGGACAATAGTACAAAGTCGAGCATGCAGGACAGTTGATGAATGCATTCCAAGTAAGGTCCAGAGTCAGATGAGGCTGATTACTCTCCCACTTCCTCTTTCTTTTGGTAGGTGACTGGATCATGAAGATTCCGATATCTGGATGGAAGCACGGCATACAATGGACGGATAAAAATTAATTAGAAGATTTGGAATTGGCAAATGACCTGATCATTCTATCCAATACACGCGAACAAATGTGGATGAAGACAACTAGTGTAGTAGCAGCCTCTGCATCAGTAGGCGTCAACATGCACAAAGGAAAAAGCAAGGTCCTCAAATATAACACGGAAAACATCAACTCAATCACACATGATAGAGAAACTCTGAAAGAGGTGGAAATGTTCACGTATCTGGATAGCATCATCGATGAATAAGGAGGATCTGACGCGACCCGAAGGCAAGGAATGACAAAGCGAGGGCTGCATTTCTACATCTGAGGAACATATAGAACTCAAAACACCTGTTAACCAATATCCAAGTTACAATCCTTAATACGAACGTGAAGGCAGCTCTACTGTACGGAGCTGAAACTTTGAGAACTACCACAACCATCATGAAATCGGTACAAGTATTTATAAACAATTGTGTACGCACAATACTCAGTATGCGTTAGCCTGATATGATCAGCAACACGCTACCGTGGGAGAGAACATATAAGCTTTCAATGGAGGAGGAAATTAGGAATAGACGTTAGAAGTGGATAAGGCATATATTCAGGAAATCATCTAACTGCATCAAGAGACAAGCGCTAACTTGGAATCCTGAAGGGCAAGTGAAGAGAGGAAGTTCGAAGAACACACTTCGCTGAGAATTGGAAGCAGACATGAAAACGATGGATAGCAACTGGAGACAACTAGAAAGTATTGCTCAGGAGAGAATTGGATAGAGCTTGCTTGTGGGAAGCCTATACTCCTCTACGGTGGGATAACAGGCGTAAGTAAGTAAATAATTTAGTAAGTGCTTCATCAATTTATCAAGCGAAATCATTTACATTTCTACATTCTATCATTATGGATTATGGTATGGCCCAAAATACTTATTTAACCAAACGAAATATTTGTCTTTAGAATATTGAAATAAGCATTTTATTAATCGTATTGTCATCTAGGAACAATATGATAAAGACTAAGTAATTTGATATCATTTGAACTGGGTTTTAGTATATAATGTATATGTAATCTCCATGGAGAAGAGGGAATCTGACATTATTAAACAATAGCGTGATTTGGACATTTGTAAAAGATTTGTTTACCAGGTGGCGCATATATATTTGGTGTCCTCTTGTACCAATAAGTATGTGTTCAAATAAATAAATGAAATGAAAAATATTTACCAGGTCAATGATAATTTTCTATTCAACTCAAGGAATATAATGCTATCTCAATCAGTTTAAATAATTATTTTTACGTAAAACACACAACTATAGTGCAAATAAGGATCACGAAATAACATACCGGTCATAAACATTTAATAACCAATTCAATATAAGATCAACGCATACATTCACTGGACGTTTAATTGAACCAATTAAATAATGCTTTCTACGTCTCATTGTATTTCGTCGACCACGATTAACACTATTCATATCTTTATTGTTATTATAATTATTCACTTGCATAATTGTGCATACAGGTAGACTAGAACTTCGATTATCCTCACTTAATGTATTTTCATTCTCTATTGTATGACAACCTGGATCACGAACAGGAGTTTTAGTCAATTTTCTACTATTTTCAGGTTCAGTTGATGGTGAAGAAAATAATATTGATTTACTTGGACGTGTTGTTGAAGATGAACGTAAAAAACTTCCCATACAATTTCTTGAATGATTTTGTGATTCAATTGTACTTGATTTTAATTCACACTAAAAACATAAAATTCTTATCAGTATATTTGTTAGAATTACCATAAATTGATAAGTTATCAAATTCATAAAAGTAGTAATATTATTCATTTAACACAAAACATTGAATAAGTATGCAATTGGTTCATCTTTACTTTATGATGTATTACCAAAAAAAAACACCTCACTCTACCTAAATCTTGTTTTGTACTAATTGGGAATTTCGTTCTAGATCTAGACAGATTTTTTCTTTTCACGTTAACATTAAATCTCATTAGTCATCATTCAAACTTCAAGGTTTATTTGTTAGTAGTCCGTCAGTCAGCTACAACGTAGAACCAGGCACATATATGCATCTGTCCAAGTTACCATACCTCATTAGCACAACAAAATGAACACCAAATTCATAGAAGCAGTTACTTCAATGATAGTAACATATAAAAGAAAAATTGCATATAAGGATATAATACAGGAAGAAAGAATTAGTTCATAGAAAGAAAGGTATAAAGTAATTTTGATCTCACGGTTTAAGGGAAGACAAAGAATATATACACCGATGCCATTATGATCGATTCTGAGATTCACAATATTATTCTGCAATACCATGAGTATAGTTATTAAAGACTGGAATTCACCATTTCATAATACCGTAGCTTATGCTACAATCGTATATTAAATGAAGATAGAATTCTCAACAACAACAAAAAGCTTGTTCTAGTAGGCATTCAATCAGCCTAAAATATAACTGTCAAGCGTTTTTAGCTTCAGTTATAATTCTTACTTGTTTTTCGATCGAGGAAAATCAGATAACAAAAAAAAGAAAAAAGTAACACTATATGTAGTCTAGTTATGTCAAAGTTGTTGTTGAGAAAAGAAAGGAATGATTTATAACAATTTAAGAAGCTGATATGTACTACAATAAAAAGCAACCTGTTTTAAGAAAGATTTAACCGAATTTACCCTAGACTTTGTCGAAAAAGTTGATTTCAATTATATATGATAAAGTAATGATATGTTGATGAAAAAAACACTATTATAGCAACGGATAAATGAAGCTGTAAACAATAATCTATTGAATTGTTTGAGACAAGTATTGTTCGTACTCACATTTGACATTTCTATGAATCTGTATTAGGTTGATTAGTATAGGAATATGTTGGAAAGAGATTAATAATCACTAAAGCAAAACATCACACCAAATCATGAAGCAAATTATTGTTAGATGGAAAAGTATTTAGTTATATTCATAAGACAATATTAATTGATTGTTTTATTATAAATGACTTACTCTGTATATTAAACGCCATATTATAAAAAATTCACTACTTATCGTAAAGATTTAAGTAAAAGTAATGACCATAGTTTTGTGTATTACTTTCTTTATATTCCCTTAGCGGAAATGACATTCAATTATATTGGGATTTATGCATCAATTACCATTACATAATGAATCATTTCTTTGATATAATGCAGGTCAAAAAAATGTTTGCTTATAAATATGAAAGGTATCTGATTATTATTGAAAAACACTTTCGCATAGATTTTGAAAATTAACAGGTTAAATGAATAGTGAAAACAAATTTGTCTTCTGTTGTACATATGATCGGATAATCAAATATATTGTATTTTGAGATGGTGGAGAAGATTTATAGCTTAGGTGGATGATTTTGATGGAGTTTTGTTCTCTGAACTGGATGTTTTGGTCGTGGAGCTTTCATCGTTCTGAACAACATCATCAGCACAAACTTCAGATAGAAGTGAAGTGTTCGGATTTCTCCACATGTGGTTCATAGCTTGTCCAATGGGAGATACAACCAAAACAAAGAAGTAATTAATGAAAGGTTTAAGGTCTACAAGAACCAATCAACTTAGAGGTCTACAGGACAAGCTGTGAACCACATCTGGAGAAATTTGAACACTTCACTTCTATCTGAAGTTTGTGATGATGATGTCGTTCAGAAGAACGATGAAAGCTCAACGACCAAAATATCCAGCTCAGAGAGCAAAACTTCATCAATATATTGCATTAAATAGAGGAATGATTATTACCACTGATGTCATAGATCTTTTGTAGAATGTTCCATTAAATCAATGATATCATTATATATAACTAGTTTAAGCTTATTTTTATAACAATATTTATTCTACTTTAATTTGTCATTTATCATTCCATTTACTTAAATATATCTTTATAAAAATACTATACAATTTTAAAAGCACAACTTACATCGGTAGGTCGTGAACCTGGCAGTGTTGAATAGCGTTCATTAATACCATCTTTCAAGTTGGAATTAGAACCATGAACATTATTTAGACATGGTTCATTTACTTTCAAATTATCTGCATCAACTCTAGAATTATGTTCATAAGAACTATCAGTTGTAGATTTTTGATTACGATTATTTAATCCGTATAAAGTTCTTGTATGATTAAACAATTGTAGTAAATAATCAATAATTTGAGGTACACTTATCATACGATCAAATGGATCAGTTGTTTGTTGACCAAGTATAGGATTACTTAATGTTTGTGAATGACCAATATGTTTTAAACTTTCGGCAACAATTGAGATACTTATCGAATCAACTAAGAATGAAATAATTGTAAAAAACATATCAAATAAATGAGTAGATACATTGAAACACGGATGTATTTTTCAGCTTTTGTGATATATACACAAAAAATGAGGGAATATGATTGGATTATGAAACAATTATTCAGCTCAATGAAAATTAAACTAATTAGATTTTGTTTTGTTGAAATAAAACTTTTAAAGAGTTTCATTAGAAATATAAAATAAAAATTTACTACCAAGTACTCTTTATGTTTGCAATTCTATGCATCAATATCAATGTTAATAATATATATTTGAACATTGACAGCACATAGGTTAATAGTTTTGCAAGTTATTTTTAATCATCAATAATGAATTTAATTTATTCAATAATTGACTGACAGTAACTCACTGAAGACAATGGTGGACGGTGGCTCAATTTTGTGGATTAGTTGAAGTTAGACATTAACACTGTTGGATGCTGGCTCAGTGATCTAGAGGTTAAGCGTTCCTGTGTGAAACTGATGGAGCCTGGATTCGAGTTCCACGGGTGGGATCGTGGATGCTCACTGCTGGAGAGTCCCGCATTAGACTGTTTATGTTTCCCATAGTCGTCTAGCTTAAACTGACTCAAACTCACTTATTAAATTACTATAATATCCATAAAACCTCTCTCTGATAATTAATAACTTTAAACATTTAACTGTGTATATGTTAATTGTTAACATTATTTTTAATTCAATGTTATTATTGAGAAAAGTTGCATGACACAAATTATTGTCCTATTTTCATTTGATCAATTTAACTATCTATACATGATTTTATAGTGTAAATATAAACTACTTATAAATAACAAAGATTAATTCACGAAGAGTTCTCTATCCGGTGAATTCATTTTCAAAGCTATATATATATATATATATATATATATATATATATATATATATATATATATATATATATTATTTTTGCCGGATGATAATAATACTGATAATAAGCTTCTGTTAGACATGGTGATAGTGAGGTTAAATAAACAAAGGTATTAAAAAATTTTTTTTTAAACAAGGAAAATTTAATAATCGTTTGATTGTTAATGGCTTAACTATTCATCAAAGATAGACAGGGAAATTATCATTGGGAAAGGATGACTCAGCATGATAAGATAAAATGTTGAAATTGGGGAGAAATGTAATCAGAATGATCGTGGAAAGAAAAATAAATCAGTTGGAGGTAGAAGATTTAAGGGGAAGATGGAAGGTGAAGCAAATGGATGTAAAGGAAGAAGAGTATAAAAAAGAGAAAAAAAATCTTAAGACATTAAGACTATGGTAGAACAAGAGGTTGTACCAGTCTTTTTTGCACACACAATTCTGGTTTTTTCCAGATGTATCGCTTATGCTTCAGCAATGCAAAGAAGATGCAGTCTAATTGTCTTTGGAAGACTTCTACTTACCTTGTAGATGACTTTGAACGCAGAGTCTGCCTTGATTGAGTGACCTGTGTTCACAAGGTTTTCGATTATTGAGCTTCTCATTGAGGCGTTTCCTCCTCTTTTTGACCACGCCGGATAATGTTCTTGAATTCCTTTGGATAAAGTACCATATGAGCAGGTGAATTGGTAAATGCACACTGAGTTGGTCAGATGCGATAATTCATCTTTAAGACTATCGGTGTACAGTGATCAGCTGGAGAATACTATTCGCAATCTTGCTGCAAAGAATGTTCTTTTTAAAGAATCAGAAATCCTCCTCTTTAAGATGTATGTGGTTATGTCACCCTTGAATTCGATGTTCATGTATAAGGTTTTCTTTTCTACTGTAATTATTTGTGTTTTCGGTTTTGTGTTCTTATCCAGGAATATCGAAGGATACCCGTTTTTAATAAGTATCTATCTTTTAATGAATACTTAGGCCATTACCAATCAAATGATTATTAAACTTTTCTTGTTTGAAAAAAAATTTTTTAATACCTTTGTTTATTTTACCTCACTGTCACCATGTCTAACAGACGTTTATTATAAGTATTATTATCATCCGGCAAAAATAAGTTATATATACTTGCGATTGTACAGCTTTGAAAATGAATTCAACGGAAAGAGAACACTTCCCTGAACTAATCTTTGTTATTTAATGCCTTAATGGATGTATTCCGTTTACTTATATAATGTAACAAAATTTGCATTTATCTAAACATAAAAAGACATTATTGTGTTACATATAAATACCATTAATAATATTTGTCATATTCTGACATCAAATGTAAGGAAACATTTTAGTAACTAAATAAAATAATAACACAATATAATATATATTATAATTATATAATATATATAATAATATACTAATGCCGACTCAGTGGTCCAAGAGGTTAAGCGTTCGCGCGCGAGACTGAAGGCCCTGGGTTAGAATCCCGCGGGTGGGATCGTGGATGCGCACTGCTGAGGAGTCCCACAATAAGACGAAACGGCCGTCCAGTGTTTCCAGGTTTCCAACGATGGTCTACCATCAATCGGTTCATGATCTCAATCAAAAACCTAATAATCTCCACAACTCCCTATACTGATTTCTTCGAGAATTTAACAAAATTAGCAACCTTTTTTGTTAACAATCAGAGTGATAACTTAAATGGAAAAGTTTTTGTGAACTTCTTTCAAAAGCTAATTTATATGATGAATTCAAAGAAATAATTAGAAAGAAAAAAGGGTGTTACGTAATAAAATTTTATCTTTTAAGACTTATATATTGAATAATTTGTTAAATATTTAATTAATATTATTCAGTAACAATATTATAATTTTAAGTAAACTAATAATATTCATAATTATATGAAATGAAGAAAATATTAAGTGACTAACTTACAACATAATTCTTTTTGTAAACGACGTAGTTTTAAACCAGTCCGATAATCAGAGAAACGAACAGTATTAAATTGTTTCATAGATTTCATTAAATCACATAAAATTGGATGATCCCATTGAGTTTCTTGGGTTTCATGACTAAAAAAAATGAAAAGAATAGATAACGTCATTGTTGTTTGATTTAAATATTGTTAATATTAATACTAACGAGAAGATAAATGTATCTGATGAGTTTTAAGTAGGACGAAACACGCTTATTATATTCAATTATTAATCACGTTAGAAAAACATAATGATTATCGTATGTTGTTTAATCATACAGTGTGATAGAAAAATAAATTTGATTTATTTGGGTGAACCTAAAGCTAATGAATAGCTGAAAGTGATTATACCATTTTGATGTACGTAGATTTCACTGAATTCGTTGGAAAAGGTTATTTCTATGTATGTACTTTAATTTTATAAGATTCTTTTAGTATAGAGATCTAATTTTAATAGGTATTATTGTAAACATAAGAAATTGTTTTGTATTAAAGTTGAGTGATAGAAAACCACTAAAAGTATTCATTTAGATTACATCATAGTTAAAAACAATTTGTGAATTAATCAAAATTTAGTTATTGTTTGTAATACTAATTTCTATAATAAAAAATATGGGTTCTAGAAGCTTCTATTCGTAAACAAGTAATATAATCATCTTGAAGTTGATCATATCAAAATTACCTAAACTTTCTACATTCTTCTTCCATTTTTTGGCTTTGATTATTATCCTGAAGAAGTCCAGACAAATTAACCGGAAGAAACGTTGGAATTATTTAAAATTCAATCACTGAGATTATTTCAAATAGAATTTTCACATATAATAGATTCTACTTCTATTTGTTTATATATTTTAACCATTTAAGGATGTATAAGAACTTTCGTCTAAAGATGATCAAATAATTTCACATTATTTTGTTACCAAATCGGTATGATTTATTAAAGAAGAAGAATATACTTGTAAAATTTCGATGAATGGATTTGAAATGAATCGAAATACATTCTTTCTTATTTAGGAATTGTTTCAATTAAAATATTATTTGTTTGGATCATTTATAAATCTATCACTCATTACAATTAATTAGATAATCTAATTGCATACTGAAATAAAAGTAAAGTTTATATTGAACTTTAGTCATCCATTTTGAAGTATTACAATACCAGGAATGTTTAACTTTTTTTAAATCTAAATATTTTAGTGAAAATTCACTTGGTATTGTTTTACTTGTATTTTCCCACTGTTGAACATCAACTCTGAGATGCAGGTACATCCAGCTGACGAGTTTTAAATAAGACGAAACGCGCGTCAAACTGGATTCCATTGCTAGCCACTATCCATCTTTGCTTATTTTAGTGAAAAGTTTCATTTCAATTCATTGAAGCTTTAAGAGAAAATTATATTCGTAGACATCTTATCTATGAGAGTCTAAAAAAGTAACTTCATTATTTAGCTTGGCAGTTGAGTTTATTTCATTGATTCAATCTTTTTGTTTTTTTAATTGTAGTACACAATAAATTATAGGCAAATATTTTAGTTCATACTTACTTTTTATAATATGGAACTTGTGTACCAGATGGATGAACACATCTTTCCCATGGTAAACGAACGGAATCTGAAAATAAAATAAGTAGAATGATGTTTGTAATAGTTTTTTATTTTCATTTAAGTTTTATAAAAAACGAAACAGGTATCCAATGCTTCCAAGTTTTTAATAGTAGTTTAGCTTAGACCAACTCATGAATTCAACTATTAAAACTACTATAATCTTCACAAACTTCCGATTGTGAAAATAAATTTCTAGTAAATATGTTGATTATCATAGGAATAAGGTATCTAGCTAAGCTGTTACATAATGTATAAATTGAAACACAAATGAGGTGTACTAATCCGTAAATTCCTTTTAATATTTGCAGGATATTCGCTTAAAACAAACTATGAAAGTGTATCTTGCATTACATAATTTATAACCAACAATCTAACTATAATGCATAGTTAAAATAAATGAAAATTCTTCTGCTGTAAAAAGAAAAATTTCATAGTTTCCAAATGGTTTATTTCATGTTAAAATAGAAGAAGAAACAAAAACTAAAATATCGTTATGGATAGAGAAAACCAGTTGTCTAATGTATAATATTAAACAAGTGCCAATTAATATTAAGATTTATAGTTTACAAGAAATTAACTGAAGAAATATAAGACATTAATAGTGTCGATTGTCAACTTCTGATTTGTACAGTTTAACATATGGAAAAAAACTCACTGAACAAATTGAAACACAACCATTCATCAAAGATGGATAGTGACTAGCAATGAAATCTAGTTTCGTCTTATTTGGGACACGTCAGCTGGATGTACCTGCATCCCAGAGTTGGTGTTCAACATAGTAAGATACAAGTAGAACAACACCAAGTGAACAACAATTCATCGTTTGTAAGTATTTGATTTTAAATAAATATTCTGGGTGTATGAGATTAATACTAATCGTTATAAAGATCTATAATTGGGATATGGCTTTAAAATACTTTCCTTATTAAGTTAGGTTTGAATAACTATGATATCTTGCAAAATTCTGTTGTCGATTTAACATATGGAATTATGTTGATATGTATATGCCAAATGTACACAAATACCTTACTCAGGATAATAAAGAAAGCTCTGTCTAATAAGTCTTAAATGAGATGTAACATGTGAATCGACTTATTATTTCCAAAAACATTGGAGGATTCAAGTTAATTAAAGCAAAGTTCTCTTACCGTGTAATGGAACATTTTTTGATTGTCCTGAAGTCTTTGGGATAGTTTGATCAACTGGTTCTATAGCTTCATGACGTGATGCTTGAGTACGTTGAGAAGAATTACGTGTAACAGTTTGATATTTTGGTCTTTGTGGCATCATCTGTAGTGCTGATAAACTTTGATTAAGTTGATGAATTCGAGTTTGTGTAATAACACGTATTCTTTCGAATCTTTTAAGTAGAAAATAGAAGAGGTAAGTTGAAAAAAAACTTCAACTTAGTTCTGAAAGGAAAATGACTCAATGTATGTACATGTTTACAATAAGACTCTATTACTGTCAAGTGAGATGAACATACCAAAATAAATGATATTTAAAAGACGGATTATATTTGTTGAATATGCTTGTGCGCATTATGGATGATATGATTGTATACGATATGGTGAATGACTAATTATAAGGAAATTTCAGAAATATACTATAATCAATATCTGTGTTTAGGCAGCATATTCTAGAACGTATACCAGTCCATTCCATTTATGATATAATGATCTCTTTCGGTATGTACGCTTCACAATAAATTTAACCGTCTATTTTCGATGAAACTATATAGTTCATGATTTGTTTATAATTTCTATAAACGAGACGGAATTCACTTATTTTATGTCATTGAGTACAAATTCAGTGTTTTGTGGTGATTTATATCCCAAATATATTTTTATATTTCAATATATGTAGCATAAGACTAAAATTTATAATTTCTCTTTGTCTATAAAATAATCAGTTATTATTATTAATCTCATTTTGTAGTTTGTTCAAATCTTCCTATTGATTTTTAAGACTGAAATCGATCAGTCTCTTATTGAGTATATGTGTACCCTATACGGATTGTCTCGATATTACCTTAAATCATAAGCATGATAAGCAATGATGGATGGTGGCCATCTACATCCCAGAGTTGGTGCAGATACATCCAGCTGACGAATTCCAAGTAGGATAAAACGCCCATCCTGGACTCCACTGCTAGTCACCATCCATTATTAGTTATTAATGTTGTTAAATAAACTCATATGGGATTATTTTAATTATCAAAACGACCATCTAATGACTCCAGGTTTTCACTACTGTATTAACATTGATCTCAATTAATAATTTCTAATTTGCAAATCATTCTTTAATTCACATATGTACACATTCTATTGAAGTGTATTTACATTTTACTTAGATAAATAATTTGATATTTTGAATTTTATCAATATAGATATAATTAATCGCACTGTTTCTAGGCTGTTACTATTTCGATAATACCTAATGTAAAACCTTTTTCAGTTCTGTCGTTGATAGTTTTTTACTTCTATTAAAACGTTTTATTTACATGTATTGTATATTTATCAGGATTACCATTCCGGAGATAGAGCTTATTGAGATAAATGCTGCTATCTATCTCATATAACTCACTAAACATATTATATTCACTAGACGATCAATATTCTGTAATTTCCATTTAACCACTCAAAAAATATTGTTTATCATGTGTTAATAAACATGCTACAGAACTTGAATAAAATTTAAATATCGAAGACTTGTCATCATCCGATGTCTCATATATGTAAAAATGTAAGGGATATATGAGGGAGTACAATGGTTCCCATAGCTACTATACTAGTGAATGATATATTAATTTACATCTCGGAGATATGTTTACCAACCTGGTTGCAACTACCTTCTTATAACAAGTTTCAACGAACATTTAAAACTAAAGTTTAAAACGATAGCTTCCAACCAACTCAAGACGCTGTATGAGTGAATTTGATCAAATAGATGTCATTCACATAATATCCAATTATAAAACAATGTACGAAGCGCAGTATTGTGGATATTATAGTAATTTTAATAGTTTAGATCATGAGTCAGTTGAAGCTAGGCCACCATAGAAAACCTGGAAGCATTGGAAAGCCGTTTCGTCCTGGTATGGGACTCTTCAGCAGTGCAGATCCACGATCCTAAATCGCGAGATCCAAACCTAGAACATATCAGTCTCGCGCGAGAACACTTAACCTCTAGACCACTGAGCTGGCCGGCATCCAATGGTGTTAATGTCTAACTTTAGCTAATCCGTGAAATTGAGCGACACGTCCACCATTGTCATCAGTGAGTTACTATCTCACAACAGACCTGGTTGAACTCCACTGGTCACTTATTATTAGAATAGAACATGGGAAGTAACAAAATAAAACGTGATGATAAGTGTTTACATTAATTAAAAAAAATGTCTTGTTCGTATTAACTTAAACCAAGTTTTTTTTGTAACTAACTGTTATGATTAAATCAGGAATATGAATCAGCGAGATGGACAACAGCTTATATATATTTTACATTCTCATTGTGCAAGTTAGAAAAACGCAATATTATCTTCAATCAGATCCTCATCAGATATATATATATATCAAACCAGCCGATAGATTTTATGAGTTAGTGATAGCAACAAAATCGTTTACACAATTAAACATAGTGACTATAAAATTACAGACTGGTTGTAAGATGACAGATCTAATAATTTTAATAATACATCTTAAAACAATAATTTATTCATAAGTTTAAACACATATGACAATTTTTACCAGTTTAAATGATATATTAAAATAATTTATTGAAATGGTTAGATGGAAAATAACTTCACCCTTGTGTATGTTTGGGTTTATTAACTTCCAAGTACAATAATTACTACTGTTATCAGTATAGAGTTTTTGATTGAAATCATGAACCGATTGGTACTCTACACAACCCTATACTGATAATTACCATGTGCTCACTAGTGACTAGTTTCGTGAGGGAATTATCGGAGTTCTAGTGAGAAGCTGTGACCAGTGGAGCTAATCCGTATTGGGTAGAGACAGGTATCTACCTCAGTACAATGGAAGATGGTCGCACAATTACGTGAATTGGTTGGTGTTAGACATTAACACCATTGGATGCCGGCTCAGTGGTTCAGTAGATTAGGTGCTCGCGCGTGAGACTGAAGGCCCTGGGTTCGAATTCCGCTAGAGGGATCGTGGATGCGCTCCGCTGGAGTCCTACAACAAGACGAAACGGTCGTTCAGTGCTTCCAGGTTTTCAATGGTGGTCTAACATCGATCGGTTCATGATCTCAATCAAAATTACTACTGTTATTTGAAATTTGTGTTTATCATTAAGATCTCTATCATCATAACCGACAATCGGTCACTAATTTTTCCTAGTTTATTTTGTATGACATATATAATTTTTCGAAATACATAAAAATTATATGCACTTAGTTTTTTAGTAATTTTCTAATGTCAAAATAGTTGACAACTCGAGCCAATATGACAAGATAAATTAAGTTCTACTTCTACATTATCTGAAAAAACATACAATACAACTCTTGATCTCAGTTGTATCATATGGCGTTCGAATAGAATTGATGTAATTTTTCTCAAGTTACAATTTCATATTTTATGACAATGAAACCATTTGACAGAATTTTTATAGGAGTAAAATCCTAATGTAAAAATGCAAATTTTAACATTCAATCAATGGGAAGATACTAGCAAAACAATACCGAGTACAATCAAAACAGATTATACTAGATGGATTTAAACTAATCGAATTACAACAATGCACAATTTACAAATAACTAACAAATTACTACTTATAACAAAAACTGTATTCCTAATTACATGAGTACACATTTTGAAATACAAGTTAACTAATAACTTATTATTGAATAGTTGTAATTATACCCTTAAATTTTCATTAATAGGGGTCAGGAATCACAATAACTATGGCAATAATGTCAGTCGATAATAAAGGCTTAAACTAATGCTTTGTAATAGAAAGTAGATCTTAAAACTTGTCAAATTAGGCTATTAAAATCACATAACAAAAAGTGTTCAAGTAGTTAGGCGTTAAAGTAGGTATCTAAACAGAGGGTGAAGAAAAATAAACGAAGGAAGGGTTGCTGAACCTAATTCAGTCAAGGAAGATATAAGAATGTTACAAATTTCTTCTAAACTGAAAGATCAGGGTCGTAGGTTTACATCCTTGTAGTTTTTGCTATATATAAAGGAAGAAAACAGCATCACCCGAAATGAATGGATTTTATGGAGTACATGACCACTGTTGATCAAGTATACTGAAACGGAGCTTTATATATTCTTTATTTGATCCTTTGGGAAGCACACTAGGAGCTATTAACTGGTTTGTTAATCAAATCACCTAGTGGCACTCCAAATTTGCCTTCATTCATAGAATCAGCTGAATTTGTGGGCACACATAGATGATGCAAAATTAGGTGGACTATCCTTTGTTTCAATAGACACCAGTGGTCGACTAGAAGATGACAAAGTAGGATAAGCTGTGTAAAATGTCTTCTTGATCACCCTCACTAGTTCATTATGAGCGGATAACTAACTACATCACAGTTGCATCGTAGGATTAGAAAAAAGAGGTTCCGTTTGAGCTAATGTTTTTAAAGTTTTTACATAATGCTTAGTCATGCAATCTTTTTCATTGTTGACAAAAACTCAGAATCTGTCCAGATTGGCTTAATGTTACTATATGTACTTATATACAGATTATTGTATTGAGAGTAGAGCCTGTTGAGGATCTAATTAAAAGGAAGATTGTTCGATTATGTGCTGCTCTTATTTGTACAGTTAAAATTTTTTAACATAAGTTTTAAAAACAACGATTAATCAAACACAGCAACGACAATAAATATTTTTAAAAAATTGCTATTTACATGTAAAGGTTGGATTCAAGATTACTCAAAAAATATCATAGAAACTAGACGGCGAAAAATAATTATGAAATTGAAATGAGTAATGTGGTGAACTATATATTCATGAAGGGTATGAAAACAACATCCAACTACTGACGCTCATCAACGGTGAGTGAATCAGAAGTATGATTGCTGAACATGATAATACCAACGAACAACGGACCACTGGAAAGTCAACGTAACTCTTATCAGGAACAGACAGCCGTTTAATGCTTTCAGATTTTAAATGGCTATCTAGATGAGGTGAGTTCATGATGTGAAACTACAAAAAGAACACTCTCAACAAACCATTTTACTAAAATTATTATTTTTCTCACTAATTTTACAAATGATTTTTAGAAAATGATGTAAATTTTACACTTAACATCGCGGACTGGACTTATTTAATTAACTGTTAGAAAACAGAAAGCACTTGACAAGCCTTCTTTATTTAGTAATGCAAAATCCATAAACTGATCGAGCTTTCCATCCTTTGCAGGAACATGGATGTAGATTACTGAAGAGTTCATTACTATTAGATAACAGTTATCTAGTGTTTTATGATTTTCAATGTTTAGGATTTTGAATCAGCTGATTTCTAAAACTTGTAAGAATTGTTTTCAGATTTTCTATAAACATTACGAAATTTGTCAACCTTTCAGTTTTAGATTACTTCTGGTTCATTCTCTTTCATATTTCTTAGATTTATCCTCAAATGACCTTGTATATATATATAGCTTTTATTATCAATTAGTAAATAGTTGTTGAAACTTTACCAACCCTTATAAATTTATATTATTCTGCTTCACTTGTTGCGTTTTGTTTTATATTAACAAAAATTGATTGAATATTGAACATTCAATTACTTATTATTTATTTTCAGAAGGGTTTTATGGACAATCCGTGACCAGTGGAGTTCAACCAGGTCTATTGTGAGATATCAGCTCACTGAAGATAATGGTGGACGGCGGCGCAATTTCGTGGATTGGTTAAAGTTAGACATTAACACCGTTAGATGCCGGCCAATTCAGTGGTCTAATAGTTAAGCGCTTGCGCGCAAGACTGATAGGCCCTTGGTTCGAATCTCGCTGGCGAGGGGGTTCGTGGATACGCACTGCTGAGAAGTCCCACCATGAGTTAAAACAGCCCTTCAGGGCTTTTAGGTTTTCCATGGTGGTCTAACTTTAATTGACCCACGATTTCAATTATTGTTTATTTATTTATTAAATAAGAATAATTAAATACCACGCAAGGTAAAGAAGAATATCAAAGATATAGTTTTTTTCTCTTAACATTTATATAAACACACAATTTACTTGGATTTTATAAATAATCTGTGGATTGAAATACCTCTAGTGTCAACCATTCATTAAAAACCATTATTTAGGATATCCCTCCAACTTCTTAATTGAAAACAAAAAGTCTTTATTTAATTATAATAATTTCATAATTAAAATTTTCATTTCTTTGAGATTTATCGCTTTTCTTGACTATCAGTTATTGTGTAATAATACTTCAGTGAAAATTCATGGTTAGGAAAGTACACATTTTTACTATTTCATATGTTTATAATAGTAATAACAATAGTCGAGTTCTTAGAAACATTAGTTAAAAATGGGAGAATTTAGATATTATGATTTAATAACCGATATCAGTGATGTAGGTAACTAAAATGAAAATATTGAACAATGTGCATGCTTCCCATAATCTCAGTCATATTTAATCGTTTGTTCTTATTTCAAAGTTTCACTTCCAACAAATCTATCGTTATACTAGAATAATGTCTGTTAATGCATGTGTGTGTTCGTATGTACGTACGCGACAAATAATACATCTGTCTGTACTCACTTCTAAATTGCAGTCGGTTTTGTTAGGAAAATTCCTTTAAAGATAGGCATGATGAACATTTCATGTTTATTTTTATTCTTTACAAAAAAGATTAACTCATTCAAAGCTATATTTAATGACATGATTGAATCTAACTGGGCAAATTTGGAACAAAGGTTTGTATTTTTAAAAAAATCTAAATCGTTTATGATGAAAATTTTTACTTTTATGTTTAAGATTTCATTCATGATAGAATTTTCGTGCAGAAAATATAATTTCCTTAAATTGATAGCATTTTAAATTATGGACATACATTCTCATCAGGCGTAATTGTAGAGACTCTCGTTTATATAAGCAGCATTTTGTATTCTTAACCAACATTGGCTGCAGAATAATAGAAAGCCTGGATGTGTTAAAGTTTCTTTTATTTATAAAAAAGCATCTCATTAACCAACTACATAGATAATGATTGTAGTCTCACTAGTGATGATGACATGATGTAGATTACTTGAAGTTTTAGTGAAAGACTATAGAGTCCTGAAGATTTAATTAAGATAGCAGTGATAAACTAAAATGCTAATGATTTGGTCAAAAAAACTAAATGAGTGGATAACTAAATTTCAACCTAAGGACTTAAAGGTACCGTACTGATATCAGGACCCTGAGTTTTATTCAGGTAAATAATTAAAGATTAAGAAATTATTACAAAACGTTTTCGGTGTAGGAGATTGTGTCGATTATTGAATAGCATAGTCCTACATCTCAAATTGATCTTATTTAGGCAAATAATGTTTAATCCTCAAATAAATAAAGTTAAGTGCTCGCGCACGAAACCAGTAGGTCTTGGGTTCGAATCTCGCAGGGGATGGGGTCGTGGATACGCAAAGCTGAGTCCCACAATGGGATGAAACGACCGTCCAGTGCTTCCAGGTTTTCTATGATGGCCTAGCTTCAAGTGACTCATGATCTTAACCATTGAAATAAAAAAACATTCTTTTTCTTGTACACATTAATATTCAACAGATCTTTTGAATAATGTCACGGGAAAATTGAATTTATCAATTCATAATAATAACAATAATAAACTATTCACCTTGACAAACAGATTCTATTCCATTGTAAATCGAATATTTTTCAGTGGTATTTTTACTAAATTAATAATGATCTATTTCATTGTAAATAATATAAACTAAATTGAACTGAGATTAGTTAGTTACTTTACCTAATTTTACTTCATTGAATTCCAAGAACAAATTTACTTTGATTCATAAAAAAAGTCAATGAGTTGGAAATAAATTTTTTTTAAAAAAAACCTATTGAATATGGAAGACGTAAAAAAAACAGGTTTTCAGTAGATCAATGGCTCAATTTATTTCAGAATCTAGTGAAATTTCATTGTTATTCAGTTGCTGTTATGTGTGGTTTTTTGCGGTGGGGGGAATTTTTCTTTTAAAATTAGAAGATAAACAAACAAACAAATGAATAGTTTATTGTTTTCAAAATAGTAAAAAACACCCATGAACTGAATCCTGTTGTTAACTTATCAATGAATTATTTTGTATGTCTACTATAGTAGATAATGACAAACTAACCATATATAACATTAACGCCTGGTTAAATAATATTATTTTTATTAGTATATACACACGCATTTAATTGACCAATCCATAAATATTGCCATATTTTCATGGCTTCATCGAGAAAAGCCGTTATGGATTATTGAATATTGTCTAGATTATTGTTTAAAATGAGAAATATTCTCAATCAATTTGTCGTGAATTGAAGTGGATAAACAAATCTATATTTATACTCAGTTGACAAGGTAGCAGCATATATATATATTCATAGATATAGGTGCACACACGTACACACGTTGTTATAGAAGAGATGAAGTCAAGTAACCTGAAAATGTATATATCATTGCGAAAACCAATTAAAATAAAGAAACAAATTCTGATGATAAAACTTACTCATTTCTGATACAATTTAACTGTACACGTAATTTTGGTTCGATTTGTACTTGTATTTCTTGTAATTGAAGTACTTGTCGTTCTAGGCTGTCCAATGAATGAGCCAATGGTTCACATGCTTCATAAAAAGACTACAGTATGCAAAATTACATTTGATATGTGATTAAAATATTTGTTTGTCAGTGTAATGATTTAATTTTTTTTTAATGATTAAAAACGTAGAAAATAATGAATAAAACAGATCATTAGCGATCTTACAAAGGATCAATTTATTCTATTCCATAAATCTTGTTATGTTTAGTTGAAAAGTACCCTTTAAAAAAATGAACGGGTATCATACTAACGAAAAATACGTATATGATGGAAAGATATATAAAGAGTCACTTGCTAGTCCGTTGCATAAAGTAATCGTCTGGTCATTATTAATGAACGTAGATCTATTTGAAAAACATAATGATGTAATCATTGAAATTAAAAAAATGAAGATAACTTATTTCATACTACATCAGTAGTTAAGATCAGCTGAGAGTCTTGAAGGAATTGTTATAATAAAATTCATGGTAATTCTCTTGAAATAAGCTCTTACTTACATACTTACGCCTGTTACTCCTAATGGAGCATAGGCCGCCGACAAGCATTCTCGAACCCATTCTGTCCCGGCCCTTCTTTTCCAGTTCCATCCAATTCTTGTTCATTTTTCTCATGTCTATCTCCATTTCCAGGCATAATGTGTTCTTTGGTCTTCCTCTTTTCCTTTGGCCTTGAGGATTCCATGTACAGGGCTCGTCTTGTGACGCAGTTCGGTGCTTTCCTCACTGTGTGTTCTATCCATTTCCAGCGCTTCTCCCTGATTTCTTCCTCCACAGGAATCTGATTTGTTCTCTCCCACAGTAGGTTGTTGTTGATAGTGTCCGGACAACGGATCCGAAGTATTTTGCGTAGACAACTGTTAATAAACACTTGTATCTTCTGGGTGATAGCTTTCGTAGTTCTCCAGGTTTCCGCCTCATACAGTAGAAATGTTTTGACATTTGTATTGAAAATATCTGACCTCGGTGTTGGTTGCCAATTGTTTTGAGTTCCAGATATTCTTCGGTTGCAAATATGCTGCTCTTGCTTTGCCAATCCGCGCATTCACATCTGCATCAGATCTACCGTGTTCATCAATGATGCTTCCCAAATATGCAAAGGTTTTTACATCTTCCAAATCGTCTCCGTTAATTGTGATTGGATTCGTGCATGTTGTGTTGAATAGGAGAATCTTGCTCTTCCCTTTGTGTATATTGAGACCTACTTATGCTGAGGCTGCTGCTACACTGGTCGTCTTTTCCTGCATTTGGTGTTGCGTTTGCGATAGAAGGGCGAGATCATCTGCGAAGTCCAGATCGTCCAACTGCATCCTAGATGTCCACTGTATCCCGTGCTTCCCTTCAAATGTTCACGTCTTCATGATCCAGTCGATCACCAGGAGAAAGAGAAAGGGTGATAGTAAGCAACCTTGCCTGACACCGGTCTTTACTTCGAACGACTTTGTCAACTGTCCTCCATGAACGATTTTGCAGTTTAATCCATCATAGGAATTCTGTATGATATTGACTAACTTCTGAGGCACGCCGTAGTGTCGAAGAAGCGTCCATAGTGTTGTCCTGTCCACGATATCAAATGCTTTTTCGTAGTCTATGAAGTTAATATAGAGCGATGAATTCCATTCAGTTGATTGTTCCACAATGGTCCGTAGAGTTGCGATTTGGTCTGTACACGATCGATCCTTACGGAATCCTGCCTGTTGGTCTCGAAGTTGGGCATCTACGGAGTCCTTCATCCTGTTTAACAATACCCTGTTGAAGACTTTTCCTGGTATTGAAAGAAGAGTGATTCCCCTGTAGTTATCACAGTTGCTGAAATCGTCTTTCTTTGGTATTTTGACCAGAAGTCCTTCTTTCCAGTCTGTTGGTACTTGTTCATCATCCCAAACCTTATTGAAGAATATGTGGATTATTCTTGCAGTTACCACTACGTCTACTTTCAGTGCCTCTGCTGGAATGTTGTCTGGTCCTATTGCTTTGCCACTCTCGATTTGTCTGATGGCCGTGCTGATTTCTTCAATTGTTGTTGGGCCAACATCGATTGGGAGGTCCGTGGGTGCTGCTACGATGTTGGGTGGGTTCAGTGGAGCTGGTCGATTCAACAGTTCTTTGAAGTGTTCTACCTACCTGTTTCGTTGTTCTTCAATGTTGGTGACTGCCTTGCCTTCCTTGCTTTTCACTGGTCGTTCTGGTTTACGGTGATTTCCGGAGAGTTTCTTTGTTGTGTCATACAGTTGTCTCATGTTTCCTTCTCTTGCAGCCTTTTCCGCCGTCATTGCTAAATCTTTCACACATCTACGTTTGTCGGTTCCGATGCTCCTCTTCACTTGCTTGTTCACTTCTGTGTATTCAGCCTGTGCCTTGGTTTTTTCTGCTCCGCATGGAGTCCCTCCGTGGGCTACTGCCGGTCCCAAGCTCGGATGTAGGAGGAGGGTTGGGCATGGCGTTAGCGACTCCATCCCGTAGAAATCTAACTCTCTAATAAAAACGCTAACCAGAAATAAGCACAGTTTTAGCAATATCAAATTTGCATTCTTGACTTCAAAATTTATAGCATTCAGAGTGATAAAACTTATCATTAAATAATCATTGGTTTTTCGAAGTTTTATACACATAATGCGTGAACTTCAGAGAGGCTTTTTTCAGTTTCAGTATTTTTTAAGAGATTACTTTGAGTTATGCACATAAAGCGCTAAAAAATTAATATTAAACTACTGACTGGAAAGAAACATCCACTAGTAATCACAATTGATTGATCACTAGGTGGTGATTAATGTCATGTGTGTCAAATCCATCTTAGTGCAGATCGAATGCTATCGACCAAGTTGCAATGTGACCTCTAGTCCATTTGACTCGACATTGAGTGTACAATGTTGAGATAAGATAGTGGTTTAAGGTAGTCAACAGGGTAATCTGGACCCGGGTATCGTGTTACTTGGAACTTATCAACAAGGTGCACCTGTAATCTTGAGGAAACTGGTGCTCCCTGATGGATTCGATTCCATATCACCCAGCTTCACAGTCAGAGACTTTACCACTGGGCTATTCGGGCAGCGACCGACCTCTTGTACGACTGAGATGCAATCACAATTGAATGATCACTGGGTGGTGATCAATGTTAAGTATGTCAAATGTATCACAAAAAAATGAAAATGTTTATTTGTTTATGGTTTGTAACTTTATTAACTATTCTTTCCTTTCTTCCTTTTTTTATTTTTCAACAAATAAAAAAAATAATAAAATTTTATAATTTATTCTATTCGGATTAAATAAAACTAAATTGAACCTATAAAATTTGACCTATAAAACCTTAACAATAAATAAATCATTCAAAACAATAAATATTTTTATTATTTTGTTGTTGTTATTTTGTTTGTTTATTATTATTATCTAATTAATTTATTAATTTTTCAGGTCAAAATCAACCTAATTTGCTTGCTGTTTTTTGGGGGGTTTTTTTGGAAATACTTTATGACAGGTAGTTTTGCATCAAAATGTACTGCTATTGAATTAGTAACACTAATCAACCAACCAACAACAAAAGTCTCTTCTGTAATTATTTTTTATTTAGCGTTTTTTAGTTAATTTGTTAAAATAAATTAAAATTAATTAATTTTATTTATTTTCATTGCGTGTACAATTTATAATTATGATTTTTATAAAGGTTAATCAAATTCACTTGGTATTGCTTTATTTGAACCTTTCCATTGATGTTCAAGACAGCAATTGATCAGTCTCTATTAGCATATGTGCATCCTGTGCGGATTGCCTTGATATAGCCTCAAGTCACAAGCTTATTAAGCAACGATGAATAGTGGCTAGTAGTGGAATCCAATTTGACACGCGTTTCGTCCTATTTGGGACTCGTCAGTTGGATGTACCTACATCCCAGAGTTGACGTTGATAATTTAGTATATCTGATTTTAATAGAATTAGTGTAATGTATCCTGTACATTCTTGAATAAATACGATATCAATTAAGGTGGTAGATACACGCTATTGGGAAATCTTAAACTATACTTACACAACTATCTGGTGTATTCTGGTTTTTACATGATTGTTCAAATGATACTATTTCATGATGTAAATTACTTTTCAAATCTATTTCAAGTGTGTTTAATTAAATCAATTTTCACGTGATTGAATTTTACATAAACATTAATTTACACGAGATGATTAACTTAAGTAAAAATGTTTGATATGATTATTTAGAAAACAAGGTTTTCGATAAAAAATATTTGAATAAATGAATTATTCATATCGTTTGTTATAATAGTAATAAGTAAAATTAGTTTTTATTTTCATCATGTAACGAATTGGTGTAAACAAGTGAATAGAATAATCACTTTGTTCTCGACAACTATATTTTATTCTTATCTTAAACATATGAACTATAATTGATAATGATCTTATAGGTTAAGGAAATTAAAATCAAAAGAATAAAATATGATTGAATTATTGAATCGGAGCATAAAAGGTTGCATTTTCAACTATGATTTCAAATACACAGTTTACTAACGGAATACATTGAGTTACGTAATATGATATTCTATTGCAGTATCAGTACAATGTTAGTTTTAATAAGCTAATTTGTTATGTGTACAAAACTATCACAAAAATTTAATACGGCTCTTCTTCGGGATACTGGCAAATTTAACAAATTCAAGATGGCCCTCAGCAATAAGTTCCAGGTCTTTCATGATCTACTCAATGGAGAAGAAACTACTATGGAGAGCAACTGGAAAGAGATAAAAGAGGCAATCACTTCAACATGTCATGAGGTTCTGGGCCAAAAGAAGCACCATCACAAGGATTGGATCACGGTCGATACACTGGATAAGATTCAAGAAAAGAGGAACAAGAAAGCAGCAATCAATACCAGTCGAACAAGAGCAGAAAAAGTCAAGGCACAGGCTGAATACACAGAAGTGAACAAGCAAGTGAAGAGGAGCATCGGAACCGACAAACGTAGATGTGTGAAAGATTTAGCAATGACGGCGGAAAAGGCTGCAAGAGAAGGAAACATGAGACAACTGTATGACACA